CCTCTCCCTCCTCCTCCACCCACCAGAGAATGTAAACAAACTGACGTCACGACCATTCTCCTTTATCCCCGTCCGTCACTAATACGTCAGTCCTTGTTGGTGGTGCTGCCAGGGTGAAATATCCTCCCGGGAATGAGTTGATCGTTGGTGGATGATAGATTAGTGTTGTTTTCTCTGATATAATAGAATGTTGACAGTGTAGAAGTGAATTGAGGAAACTGCGTAGGTGGCCTTTGGTTTGAGTTGGTTAGGTTTGGTAGTTTAGTTAGGTTAGATTATGGTGTGGTTAGGTTAGGTTATGATCCAGGTAGCGTTAGGGTGTTTAATCATCAGGTGAAATAAGCTGGGTATAGGTAGGAGAGAGAAGAGAGAGAGAAGGGAAGAGAGAGAGAGGAAGGGAGAGAGAAAGGAAGGGAAGAAGAGAGGAAGGAAGACGGAGGGGCTAATCTTAAGGTGATCTCAGCAGTCAACAAACACTTTCAGTATCAATGGTGGAACTTCAGACGGAGTGACGTAGGGATCATGGCTCTCTTGTACCCAGGCCATGAGGTGTCAGGACAAACGAGTAGCCACCTGTGTGTAGGTTAGGTTAGGTTAGGTTAGGTTAGGTTAGGTTAGGTTAGGTTTGGTTCCCTGGTAAGGTGTATCTCGGAACAATTTTATTTTTTTTTTTTGTAATTATTTCTGTCTACCTAACAGTAATTGGGAACCTGGAAGTTAATCAATTTGTGGGTTAGTGTTCAGGGGTAATGGTTAGCCAGTGCAGTTAGCGAGTTGTCCGGTCTTCTTGGATTATTCAGGGCACTGGGTCATACAGCTCTTTAACTTAGGGTGTGGTTGTTATGTTTGGGACAGCTTCTACACCTTAAATTCTTGCCAGCCAGCCATGAACGTGGGGGGGCGGTAACCGTATTATTTTTATACGTACGTGCTAGTGTATGTATGTATGTATGTATGTATGTATGTATGTATGTATGTATGTGTCGGTAGAACAAAAGTACATTTGTTTATGTCTATTTGAGTGTTTGTTGACATACAGATGAAGGGGTGGTGCTGCCGAGGGAGGGGAGGTCGTCTTCCTCCACCTCCAATATGGTTCATAATTTCACACCCAAACCCAGGACCACCACCCTTATCTCCCACCGCATTATAGCAGGTTCTTGGCCCCCACCACTCGGTATCGGGGTCTATAAACATGCACTTAACTTATCCCTTAATTGGCGTCGAGCTGCTGAATTTATTTAGGGTTTCTTGAGATCCAGGTGAGGGCAGGTGGTAGGAGGGTGCGGGTGAGGGCAGGTGGTAGGAGGGTGCGGGTGAGGGCAGGTGGTAGGAGGGTGCGGGTGGGTGAGGGCAGGTGGTGGAGGGTGCGTGGGTGAGGGCAGGTGGTAGGAGTGGGTGCGGGTGAGGGCAGGTGGGAGGAGGGTGCAGGTGGTGCAGGTGGGAGGAGGGTGCGGGTGAGGGTGGTGGTAGGAGGGTGCGGGTGAGGGGCAGGTGGTAGGAGGGTGCGGGTGAGGGCAGGTGGTAGGAGGGTGCGGGTGAGGGCAGGTGGGGAGGAGGGGTGCAGGTGAGGGTGGTAGGAGGGTGCGGGTGAGGGCAGGTGGTAGGAGGGTGCGGGTGAGGGGCAGGTGGGAGGAGGGGTGCGGGTGAGGCAGGTGGTAGGAGGGTGCGGGTGAGGGCAGGTGGTCGGAGGGTGCGGTGAGGGGCAGGTGGGGAGGAGGGTGCAGGTGGGAGGGGCAGGTGGTAGGAGGGTGCGGGGTGAGGGCAGGTGGTAGGAGGGTGCGGGGTGAGGTAGGTGGGAGGAGGGTGCGGGTGAGGGCAGGTGGTAGGAGGGTGCGGGTGAGGGCAGGTGTGGGAGGAGGGTGTGGGTGAGGGCAGGTGGGAGGAGGGTGTGGGTGAGGGCAGGTGGGAGGAGGGCGGGTGAGGGCAGGTGGTGGAGGGTGCGGTGAGGGCAGGTGGGAGGAGGGTGTGGGTGAGGGCAGGTGGGAGGAGGGTGGGTGAGGGCAGGTGGGAGGAGGTGCGGGTGAGGGCAGGTGGTAGGAGGGCAGGCGGGTGAGGGCAGGTGGGAGGAGGGTGCGGGTGAGGGCAGGTGGGAGGAGGGTGTGTGTGGGTGAGGCCAGGTGGGAGGAGGGTGTGTGTGGGTGAGGCCAGGTGGAAGGAGGGTGGTGGTGTGGATAAGGTCAAATGTGGGAAGACAGTATTGATGTGGATACTGACGTGGGTATTAGTATCCTCACGAGTCACGCCCTATACTCTCACCTGCATCTTCCAGGTATCGTAATCAAGAGGTCATCACTATACACCTTGACCCAGTCCCCCAGTATCGTGTCCACATAGCGTTAATGATGGATGAAATTCCTTGGAGACTCTGAGGGTTTTTGAAGGAGAGGTGGATTAAGTTAACCTCCCCTAACCTAAACCTAACCTAATCCCCCAGGTAGCTTGAGGGTGTTTAATCTTCAGGTGACATAAGCGTTAGGGGGACCTATTGCTCATGTACTAAAACACGCAAATGTTCAATCCGTCACAAGGGTAGCAGTAATTACAGTGTAGGAGGGGGGGACCTCCTCCTACCTTTCCTCACCTCTTTTCTCTTCTCTTCCCCTTCTTCTTCTTCTCCCTTCTTCCCTTACCACCCTTCTCCTCCTCCACCTCCTTCCCTTTTTCTCCCTTCTTTTCCTCCTTCGTCTCCTCCTCCTCATCCTTTCTTCTTCCTCACCCATCTTCTCCCCTTCTTTCCTCCTCTTCCTTTCTCTCTTTAGTAAAAGGCGAAAGATTTATGCGTTTTGAAGGGAAACCAACGCTTCTGCGCTTCACCTTGCACAGGATGTAAGGGGGTGCCCAATAAACTAGCCCCCTCCGGAGCAATCTGTAAACTGTAATCTCTCTCTCTCTCTCTCTCTCTCTCTCTCTCTCTCTCTCTCTCTCTCTCTTACTGGACTTCCCTTCAAATTCTACGACCCTAGACCACCACCCAACCCTTCGCCCCCCTCCACCCAACCCCGCCCCCTCCAATCTAACCAACCCCGCCCCCTCCACCATACATTGTTATTTTCTTGTTAATAAATTACAATATGTTAAACAAGTGTCTTAACTTTGCTTAATCTGGTGATAAACTATTCGTGGTTGTTTGTCTATGTGAGTTTATGGTAATTTATGGCCGCTTATTGTGGTGATCAGTGAGTAGATTATGTGTTTCCTTGAATATAGCTTATACCTATCACGCCATCATCTACACCTATCACGCCATCATCTACACCTATCACGCCATCATCTACACATATCACGCCATCATCTACACCTATCACGCCATCATCTACACCTATCACGCCATCATCTACACATATCACGCCATCATCTACACCTATCACGCCATCATCTATACCTATCACGCCATCATCTACACCTATCACGCCATCATCTATACCATCACGCCACATCATCTATACCTATCACGCCATCATCTACACCTATCACGCCATCATCTACACCTATCACGCCATCATCTACACCTATCACGCCACTCATCACACCTATCACGCCATCATCTACACCTATCACGCCATCATCTACACCTATCACGCCATCATCTACACCTATCACGCCATCATCTACACCTTATCACGCCATCATCTATACCTATCACGCCATCATCTACACCCCATATCACGCCATCATCTACACCTATCACGCCATCATCTACACCTATCACGCCATCATCTACACCCATCACGCCATCATCTACACCTATCACGCCATCATCTACACCTATCACGCCATCATCTACGCCTATCACGCCATCATCTACACCTATCACGCCATCATCTACACCTATCACGCCATCATCTACACCCATCACGCCATCATTCATACCCATCACGCCATCATCTACACCTATCACGCCATCATCTACACCTATCACGCCAACACCCACACCTATCACGCCATCATCTACACCTATCACGCCATCATCTACACCTATCACGCCATCATCTACACATATCACGCCATCATCTACACCTATCACGCCATCATCTACACCTATCACGCCATCATCTACACATATCACGCCATCATCTACACATATCACGCCATCATCTACACCTATCACGCCACGTCTCCATTTACGGCCATTATGTTACGCCATCATCAAAAAATATCCATCATGCTTCTCCTTACCTCTATCACACACACACACACATTTACAGTATATTTACTCCCTCCTCTCTTCCCCCTTCCTCTTCTCTCAGTTTTATTTCCTCATATGCCTTACAGGAATCATGTGTAACCTTAGCATGTACACACACACACAACCAGGTGTTCGTGTGTGTAGGTATGTGCACAGACAGACAGGTGACAATCAATATACATCTGGTTGACGTGATGCAGCAAGTGCAGTCTTAGTGTGTTGTGGTTGTTGTTTTTCTCATTGTTGTTCCGATTGCTGTTGGGGTTGTGATTTTTGTTGTGGTTGTTGATGTGACTTGTTAGGGGTCGTGGTTGTTGATGTGACTTGTTAGGGGTCGTGGTTGTTGAGGTTGAGGTTGTTGTGCTTCTTGTTGCTGTTGTGACTTGTTTGGGGTCGTGGTTGTTGAGGTTGTTGTTGTTGTTGTTGGGGTTGTTGTGCTTCTTGTTGCTGTTGTGACTTGTTTGGGGTCGTGGTTGTTGTTGTTGAGGTTGTTGCAGGATATTGTGTAGACTCTAGTTTGCAGCAGTTTATTATTATTATTAGTAGTAATAGCAGTAGTAGAAACAGTGTTAGTATTTTAGCAGTGTGTGTGTGTGTGTGTGTGTGTGTGTGTGTGTGTGTGTGTGTGTGTGTGTGTGTGTGTCTAAACATTATCACAAAATCTTTAAAACTAGCAACACGAATGTTCTCCGCGTCAACATGACTCACAAACCGACAAAATTTCTTGTGCATGAATCTAGTTGTTAATTGTTAATGTCTTTTGCTTAAGTCTATTATCGGACATAAATTAATACCTTCCTTTTTTTTCTAGTATGATGAGATTCAAGAGTATACACACTTATAGCCTCCTGGTAATCCGCCTGGTAGCTGCATGGTCGACCCTCCCACCACCTGTAGTGTCTGCCTCACCCTTACTGCACAACGCCACACACACCCAAGTCACGCCAACCACCCAAACTCCATGGCGTCCTTATAATCAAGATAATGCCACAATCATGCTTAATATGAGCATTATACAAGATAATGAATACTTGAGAAATATTAGTCAGAATTTTATGAGAGTTCTGAAGGATAAAATCATGAACATATACAATGGATCGAACATCATCCTGGGCGGGAAAAATGACGTTGGCGCGAAATATGAAACTGGCGGGAAAACTGAGACGCACATTCTTAATTCTGCCGCTTTGACATTATCCCAGAACGACACCAGACCAAGCAACGAGTCTCACAGCTACAACAACGAGGCGTATATTAACGAAACGATGTACGGCGACGCAACAGAAGACGACGATAGCTACTATTGGAACGACACAATGGCGGATAACACGACTGGCAACTTTTCTGACGTGTTCAAAGTACACTCCAAAATCTACAGGTTCCAGATGATCAAGGTAAGTTACATCCGGGTCTTAACACCTTGGAGTTATTTATTTTATACACCCTTGCAAACTTCACGGTAAGAGCAATAACAATGGTAATTAACTGACGGTGGAGGTAGAAAGATAATTATAAAATGGCCCAAATTGAACCCAAATACAGTATCTTCTCTCGGGTGTAGGGGGTCAGTACACAGCGAACAAAACAGCGTTATTGGTCATGTGCAGTACAGTACGTTAACAGCCAACACTTGTACGCAGTCCCGGGTGGTACACTGCTAGATTCATTTGAGAAAAATACCATCAAAACCGTCAACAATAATGCTTTACCAGACAATCTTACACGCCAGACTAGTACTGTGTGGAAGGAATGGTGTTTTTACTCTAACATATAACCAACAACAGTTTAAAACATCCTGGTTCAGTTGTGTTCAGTGGGTGACTTGTGACGAGGCTATCACATCTTTTCGGTCCGCCATAAAACAGAGGTTAAACGAGAGGAAGAGTGATTGGTGTTTGTGAGTTGCTGTGTGTATACCTTCAGCACCTCGTCAATTAGTCCATGGATGATGATAATGTACTTGTGTGCCAACATTTGTTATTCTCTTGCGTTTTGTGTTCCTAATGAGGAATCTAGACAAGCATGCTTACACGTATACTAACAAACAGCATAAATACATCTTAGAACAAACAAAATACACATACAGTGCAGTAAACAAACAGGCAAGGCCGGAAGCAGTAGGGTGAAGTAGCAGAGCGTCTTAAGACCCAAGGTATTGACCAGGGTGAGTGAGTCATGGTGCGTCTCTGCTCGCGTGTGGTCACAACATAACCAATATTCTAGCTCGCCTTGCGGGCGTCACTTTTGCTATTCACTTGCTAATTCCAGGAGTCCGCCGTGTGAAGGATGGCGGCGACATTTAGAACCGAAGGATAAGTTTTTGAAAAAACAACGAGAAGCGACATTACACACGGAAAAGCACACTCAAAAGAAGAAGGGGGAACTAATGTATTTAGTTGAGTCCATTTTATTGTACTTTATATTTATTCGTTTGTCGACACACAATCATGATCTAGATGATTGCAGGTACTCCATGAACTATGATTACACAGGTGAGAGGAACAAGGCAGCCTCACCCCGCCCTCACCAAGTGTGGGAGTAATGCAGTTTTTTGTTCACCTTTAATGACAGTATTGAAAGTGAATAATAATAATAATAATAATAATAATAATAATAATAATAATAATAATAATAATAACTTAACAATGATAATAGCAGTAACAACAACAATAATAATAATAATAATAAATTCAGGACTACATCTATATATCTAGTAAAATAAGATAAATCATAATAGTCTAGTCGTTTATATTTATGCCAGTTGTTTGTGAGTGACGGTGAGTGGTTTGGGTTGTTGAGTGACGTGTTGGTCGGGTTGTTTGTGGAGGGTGACGGTGAGTGGTTTGGGTTGTTTCAGAGTGACGGTGAGTGGTTTGGGTTGTTTGTGGAGTGACGGTGAGTGGTTTGGGTTGTTTGAGTGACGGTGAGTGGTTTAAGAGTGACGGTGAGTGGTTTGGGTTGTTTGTGAGTGACGGTGAGTGGTTTGGGTTGTTTGTGAGTGACGGTGAGTGGTTTGGGGAAATTGAGAGTGAGAGAGGGATTGTGTGAGAGAGTGAGTGGCTGAGTGAAAATAGAGAGAAAGAATGGAGTAAGTATTGAAGCTGAACCTCTCTCTCTCTCTCTCTCTCTCTCTCACTGAAACTTAAACGTCTTACATACTAATTAACAGAACCGGATACAAATTAATTTTAGTTAAATATAGCTTAAGAATATTTTACACACATACTCAGAGTTATCATCTGTGTGTGTGTGTGTGTGTGTGTGTGTGTGTGTGTGTGTGTGTGTGTGTGTGTGTGTGTGTGTGTTAAAGGCATGTGGGCTTGAGAACGTTAATTAAAGTGAATATCAAAAAATGTGGGTTAGTAGGAATGAACACACACACACACACACACACACACACACACACACACACACACACACACACCAGGCAGCGCATTAGTATGTTGAAGAATTTCGATCAATACAAACATACCTTCATACAAGTGTTTATTTAATCAACTGTATGTATGTAACACCTCCCTGACACACACCTGACACACAATACCTTTCTGACACACCTGACACCATCCTGACACACCCACACCTGACACACCTACTACTGGACTCTCTTGTCTGTAGGTGTGTTAGTCTCGTTGTTGTTTGCAGGTGGGAGTGTTGTGTACGGTGATGTCGGTCATCATACTGTCTACCTGCAAGATGCTCCTTCAGGTGTTCGCTCAGTACGCCGGCAGGGAGAAGCCCGAGGGGGAACTGTGAGGACCTCCTGATGGTGGCTGATGGAGGCGAGGGGTGAGAGGCCCTTCTGTGTGTAGCGGTTCGTTCAGATACTCCTGTGGTGGCTGACGGAGGCGAGCGGTAAGGGCCCTTCTGTCTAGCGGCTCATCCAGATACTCCTGTGGTGGCTGACGGAGGCGAGCGGTAAGGGCCCTTCTGTCTAGCAGCTCATCCAGATACTCCTGTGGTGGCTGACGGAGGCCTTTGAGGTCTTATATGCTCTGTGGTTGGTCGTACATGTAAAGGATAATATTTTATACCCTGATAGAGAGAAGTCTTCAGGAGAACTTTCATGTGATTGGCTGGCTCTCAAGAGTGACGACCCTCAGACACCTGGCAAACTGTACTGTGATTGGTTGTCTTCATGAAATATAATGTCCAATAAGAAAGTCTTCAGTCGACAGGAATCATTTTACAGTGCTTTGATTGGTCGTCTTCATGCAAGCTGATATCCAATAGGAAAGTCCTCAGACGACATGTATCACCCTCAATGGTATTTTTGTATTGCGTTAACTTTCTTCTTCTGTGCACAGTAATTTCTAGTGAAGTATATAATTATCTTTAGTTTTTACATGTTAAAAATTTGACCTGTTTTTGTTGTTCAATTTTCTCTAACTTTATACCTTGGTAGTATAAACACCCCAGTACATATAGGGAATCTCAACGTGACGTCATTATTTGTTTAGGCTGGATCTCGCATACAAGAACACAATATTTGAAAATTACCACGAACATTGACACTAAACCATTTCTTGTTCGTACAACTCCAACCAGTATAAGTTCTTAACCTAATTGAACCGAAGCTAATAATCATAGAGTAATTTTGATTCGTTTAGGTTTGAAAAGTTCGTATTATCTGCTTTAAATAAGAAATAATGAATGGTCTAGTACTCATCTTCGTGGTACTTCCCCAACATTATACAGTTCCCCCTCCCCGTGTGTAGATAACTAAACCATCAGTCTTCACAATTTAACGACTTCTTTGAGCCTCGGGTTTTATGGGAAGTATATGTCTGTATATACATAATGGTACATATTCTAATATATCCCTTTCCTCTTATATATGTGTGTGTGTGTGTACGTTTCTATATGTTACTCTGTGCGTGTATACATGTTTGTGTGCGTAAAAGTGTAGGCTATGTATGTGTATATATATCTGCGTTTGTTTTATTGTGTGTAAGGTGTAGCAAACCTCATATCGTAAAGTAAAGGGTTGCTATCTTGCATCCAGAGAATCCTGAAGTCAACCCGCCTGTGAATTGGTTCAGTGCCTCCTTAGTCAATGTCCAGTACCCACACTCACCCACCCCCCTCCCCACAATAGTCCGTCACGTATATGAGAGCTATACTATTACTTTTGACTGTGTGTTTGTGTGTGTACTGTCCTGACGTGTTTATACATGTGTATGTGCTGGGCTGACATTTATGTTTGTGAATAATGAGTTTGTGTGTTTGTTTTGTGTTTATAATTAGTTTGTGTAGATGTCAATGTGCACACGTGTATGTATTTTGAGTGCACGTTTCTGCGTTTGTGTGTTTATATTTCAGCAAATAATATATATTCTGTTATATAACTTTCTTACTACTTATGACAGACAAACGCATCACTATTAAGCACCACCAAGATTGCTGGGTTAATTAAGTATATACAGTATATATAAAAACAAGTATATAAGAGTTATGTTTTATTTACCTCAATCAATTACCAACAAAAGATTTTCCCTCAAACAGAAAAAAAATAGTTTAACATGATATATTATTTTTGGGAAGGTACTGAGCAAATTCTTATTATACAAAATATCTGAAATATGTAAATTATGGTAATGCCCAGACTAGTGATTTTTCTTTAATATATCACTAATTTCCAAATTACTGACATAGTTTAATAGTTAAAGGTTATTTATTATAGTTAGCTTATAATATTAACTTATTTACTGTAATTTACCTAAAAGGTTCCCTGACATAACTACAACGCCTGAACTAGGATTCATGCCTCCCCTGTAACGTCATAACTAGCACGTCAGTAATCAAGGGAAGAGCTTTTGTTAAACCTTAGTTCATTCGTCATAAAAGATAATTAAGTTAAATCCAGCTGTGTGACAAGCTTCAGCCACTACAGTAACCACAGTAAGTCAGTTTGTCCACATTATCTCCAGCTGATCTACCATGGGCGGCGGCCATAATAACGTTGAGGGTATACTGGATGGAGGGTGTGGAAAGGCGTCTTCAGTTTGGCGAACGCCTGGAACAAGTAAAAAAGGTATTAAAACTCGCTCATCGCCATTCGTAGACAGTGTCATCAACTTCCTAAACTGTGACGTCATGTAATGATCAACTTTTCAACATGAAATAGAAAACAAATGATTATGTAATAATTAAATTATATTGTAATTAATTTATGAAAAATTACTCTGTAAAATTAACCGTCTATTATTAGTCGGAAGCAAGATTGTGTTTAACATCCCAGTGAGAATAACCACCAAGTTTTCAGTACCCTCACCGGTGACAGGTCCCACAGAACTTTAACCTTAGTTTGATGCAGAACAGTGAACGGAGAACAGTATCACCATCACACTCCTCAGAGATGCCTCGTCGTGCACACACAGCAGAGAAACATGCATATTACAATGTGGAAGAAAAACTTAGAGGCTGAAGGTTATGTTTACCTTCAGTGTAACATCAATAACAGGACAGCACCAACACAAGAAGCCACTGTAGGACTAGCAGGTGTCTGGTGTCGTAATTACTCACTTTTAAAAGAGGTAAGTTGTATTTTTCACATGAATATTATTATGCTGTTTCTGCCATTGTTACCACACACAAACAAATGCTGAAAATGAAATACCTTTTCCCGTAATTCTCGGCACCGGGAACTCTTCACTGACATCAGATGTAAACAAACGATCAATTAGTTACTTTTTTTACTAAGTTTTTATTTATTAAAAAGTAAAATTACCAATCTAGTATAAGCGCTTGTAAGACCTCGGGCATTGACACGTAGTAATTTTGGGATTATTATCGTTTCGGTCATCTTATTTAGGTTAGGTTAGATATACTGTAGTTAGTTCCTGGGCTCTGGCTTGATTAGGTTAGGTTAGGCTTGATCAAAATCATTCAAAACACGTCAAAAATCGCTCGAAAAACATAGGGACGACTGAAACCACAATTTTACCGTAATTTTATTTCATCAGTTTATCACTGGTTAATTTTGACACTATTAGCCGTTGATAGTCCACGATAACTGTTATTTAAGTGAAGAAACTGAATTGGATATGACTCTTCAAGACGTGGGCTCTTAAGTAACGAACATTTATTAATATACAGTTTAACGATAATGTGTGAGGGACGTAATAGTGTGTAATGTTCAATAGTGTTGCCTTATATGTACAGAAGTGTCTGGACGAGCTACATCTAGTTGTTTAAAGGCGATAGACGACTCTGGCTGACGATAATACCCACAATAACCTTAATTACATCCCCTCGTGTTCACAATGCTACCCTACCATATATTTTGACTTTAATAAATTATCACCACTAAACATTGACGTATCACGACTAGCGTTGTTAGGGAATTCTATAAGATTATATCAACATTCCGTATGTACATAAACACGCGTCACAAGCGATGATTTTGGCCAGTGTGTAATATTTAAATCTCAACCTTAGTACAGTATAATGTTACTGATAGTGTGTGTTGTCTTGGTAAAGGTGTATATATGTATGATTTTTTATTCAGTAAAATAATAAAATATAAAATCATCATGTATTGTTGACAGGTTAACGACTTAGAGGCCGTTGTTTGTAGGAGGGAGTGTTACTTTACAGTACAATTGGTTCCTGTGAATAATATAACGCATGTATGTACTTAGTGTTTGTCTAATGTCGACGAGAGAGAAAATTGTAGTTACTAAATACAATTGCTATTTAACTTGAAAGATTAATATTTATTGTTTATCACATGACCTGGAACTTCAGGGTGAAAATGGGTTCTTGTGTAGAATTTAATTATAATTTGATTTTTTACTATCGCAAATCTTGTGAAAAAAGGAAAATAACGGAGATATAAGCAATATTTGAACCAACTAAAATGAGCGTTTGTCCACTGATGAAGCCTTACGTCTAGGGACATGGCGTTAAAATTGGTTTGGTTTGGTTAAATTAGGTTTAGTTGGGGAGGGTTATGTTTTAAGGCTCGGTAGTGTCCCCACGCCCACTTTAAACCCTACAATTTCCCTCTAATCGATTCGGATTATAGTTATATCTGAAGAAACTATTTTCATCCTGAAGTTCAGGTCATGTGCTAAACCAAATAATTACTGTTTATAATAATGTAGTATCTCGTTTCTAGGTACTTTAGTATTTAACGAACAAAGTGTAATAAGCTTTGAAATTCAGGGGTAATAGTTATGAGGTTGTGGGTAAGAACAAAGACAGGCTACGGAGTCGGTCTGAAATTACATCGCTTTGTTCCCTGCACCTCGGCCCGGGCAGGTCTCTACGACGGTGTGACAATATTCCTAGTCTACTGTACAGTACGCTTGATAGTTTGACGCAACCATACAGTCTACTGATATTTTGTGTGGTATGGTAAATGTTTATATTTGTACAGTATGTATGTACTGTATGAATTTTTTATCGAATCGAAGGAAATCGAACTAGAAAATTATATTATATAAAGGTTACACCTCCCCATATTAACAAACTTTTCATTTTACACGCTTAGACTAATACCAGTTTTCATATATAGTCTTTGTAGGTTTGTACGTGCGGATTTTTATCATTGCCTTTTTCATGCAGGTTTATTATCTGATTGAGAAGAAATTCGGACCGGCAAATATACTGTAAACACCATATTAGGCTGGCTATCTTGCCCCCTGTTTACGCGCGATCGTACAAATCCATTTTATCGTTTCCTTATCAAAGTCTCGGGTCAAAGAACCAACATGCACATTTAAAGAATATTAGAAGAGACAAAGGTACGAGACACATATATAAACAGGTACATGGGTAGTGAGATAACATGTTAAATATATACACGATCTGGGAGAGTTATACCTCGCGGGGCTGTGAGTAGGGAGGTTAATAGTGTGGTACCCATGCATGTATATGGTGACATGGGGGAGGCTGCAGAAGGGAGTCGGGGTGTTTTGGAAAAGGTAGGGAAATGGGAGGGGTGAGATGTTTGAGGGGGGAGAAGGAGATGGAAGAGAGGTGGATAAATAGGGAGAGATAAATAATGGAGTGAGGGAACATGGGACTGCAGAGAGATGGTTGAATAAAGCGTGGGGGAGAGGGGAGGTAACTCACCCCAGCTATGGCTTCAAATATGTGTTGCTTTTTAGCGTCCAGCTGTTGATAAGATGACAACATTAGACTCTCCTCGCAACTCGTGCTATTATTCCTCGTAACTACTAGTAATAGGTGGACTTAACCTTCCTGAACTACCTATATAGTGACTAGTGGATAGGTAAAATGTACTATAGTTTATTTGTATTCAGTTCCTGTTCTAGGAAAGTACAAAGGAGGTTCTAGTGCCTTGTGTGTTAAGTCACCCCCTGAAAGCCCCTTGTATCTCGTACTGTACAAGGCGTCAGTCAGTTGTAGAGGCGTGATAGGCGGTCTGTTGCCTGGTTCCGTAAGGTCCTTCAGGTGTTAGGTGAGTTAAAGGTCTGTGCCATAAGTTAAGGACGAATTTATTAACCCAAGCTAACCTCACTTAACCCAACCCATCCCAGCTTAATCCAACCCAACCCACTTTAACCTAAACTCCACAAAATCCAACTTAACCTAGAATAAAATCAGAATATTAATCACTTTAAGTACTCAGTATAAGGCCCTGTATGTAGGAAATACAGTTAATTATTTAAGCAACAGTAATATTCTTTTTAACATGTTATATTTAGACGTTCTTCTGAGTTAAAAAATGTATATCACGCAACATCTCTTAAGGTTAAAACACACACACACACACACACACACACACACACACACACACCTAGAAACTCACCTGGGTCTTGCCACTTCCATATGAAATCGGGTGGGTCTGGGAATAAGTCGGGTGGGTCTGGGGGTAAGTCGGGTGGGTCTGGGAATAAGTCTGGTCGGTCTGGGGGTAAGTCGGGTGGGTTTGGGGATAAGTCGGGTGGGTCTGGGGGTAAGTCGGGTGGGTATGGGGGTAAGTCGGGTAGGTCGGATAAGTCTGGTAGGTGATGGGGCCCTTGCGGAAGACGCTGCTGATCTTGTCTTTAAGCTCCTCCTTGACAGCCCCGACCTTGGCCAAGGCCCCGGCAAGCACTTCCTTCTTGGCACCAACGATTCCTCCTACCTTGGACTTGAAGCCTTCTACTTTAGCTTTGATCCCCGTGAAGAGGTTCTGTTGGTAGGAGGCACCAAGCTAAAGACACCAAGCTAATCCCTGAAGCTAAGGTATCAAGCTAAGGCACCAAACGTAGGCACCAAGCTAACTCCTGATGCTAAGGCACCAAGCTAACCCCTGACGCTTTTAGGTACCAAGATAGGGCACCAAGCTAAGGTATCAAGCTAGGTTACCAGGCTAACCCAGGGAAGCTTAGGTACCTAGCCATGGCACCAAGTTAACCCCTGAAGTTAAGGAACCAAGATAAGGCATCAAACTAAGGTACCAAGCTAACCCAGGGCGCTAAGGTAGCAAGCTAAGGCAGAAAGTTTAAGAGACAAAAAAAAAAGACACTGAGGGGAGAAGCTAAGATAAGAAACTAAAGCAGCGAGCTAAAGCAAAGGACACTAGGAAAAGCTATGCACTAGACATCATAATACTACTAATAAATTCCTGTCCATTATCAAATAAAAGGTAATTAGTGAAAGCAAAAAAATCATATCTAAATGTAAATAACAAAATTAATACCAAAATCAAAATATTGAAAATTTAATTGAGATCAGAATGTTTAAAATATTTTGGTTAGTATGCAGTGAACATGTATATATTGTTAACTCCAAAACACACACACACACACACACACACACACACAAACAAACAAAAAAGCGCACAAAGACAAAAAAAGCGCACAAAAGTAATGATAAATGACATAATAATAAAAGCTGTGGCAAGGAGTAATTGGCGAGGTAAAAACTTGAAATGCAACTTGTAGGAGGAGGAACGTTTCTTTTCCACCCTCGTGTCTGTGAGGTGGTGGTAGTGTCGTCTTTCTGTCTCTTTTAAATGTGTCTGTGGTGTGTCTATCTTGTCTATTAGAGTGTCTGTGGCTGTCTGCGGTGGTGTCTTTGAGTAAATCCCTTTAAGGACTACATAGTGGGACAAGTTTACAATTCCATCAACCGAGTCATCGTATACATAAGATCCTGTGACGTCATGTTTGGGTTAAGGGACTTATTATTTTTCTAAGTTCTGGTGTGTTTAGATTTAGACTTTGAACAACCAGATTAGAAGATGCTGTAGAGGTTGATCAAATTAGAAGATGCTGTAATGATCCTTAACAAGAGGGACGTGAAACAGTGCTCAGAGGCCAGGTCAGAATGGGGTGACCTGGCAGAGCTGATTGACCTCACGGGACACTTACAAGTTTGGGCCGGTACATGGGTCTCAGGGGATAGATGGGCATCGGGAAGATGGACTGTGGGTAGACGGGCTGCGGGTAGACGGGTTGTGGGTAGGGCGGGTAGATTGGATAAGGGGTGACAGGTGAAGGCGTGGACACCGGATACACTCCTCCGCTCACTCCAGGTATAGGTCCACCGCCCACGCCCACCCCCTGGTAGTCTTCCTCAGAGCTGTCGGTGTAGCTGCCCTCGCTGGAGGTGCTCTTGGACTTGAGACTACTGAAGGCGGCGCTTTTGGAGGCTATGGCGTCGGTGAGGCCTGCGGAAGGAGGACTTGAATGACGCGGGAACTGAAGGAGGTGTATAGAGAGAGGAGAAGGAAGGAGGCGTAAGAAGAGGAGGAATGATCGCAGAAGAAGGGAAACTGAGGAGAAGGGGAATAGCTTAAAAGTCTCTAAGTAATCACACAGAAAGGACTACCGGTTATTGTTGCTCGAGACACGAAGCTTCTTGCAGAGAACCAAAGATGCACAAAATCCTAAGTATAGAGATTGTTGCAAAAGTTAATAAGATGAAGGTCTTCTTTTTTTCACTCACTGGCAACGAAGGTAGTTTGGGCGTCCTTGAAGCCTTGGGCGACTGCTGCCTTAGCGCCCAGGACTCCGCCGAGTATGGTGAATTTAGAATCCTGCAGTCCTGTTAAGAAACCGTCCGACGTGTCCTCATCATAGTCCTCTACTAAGGGGGGTCCTATGTAGGGTTCACCATAGTTCCCCACGTCGTCCGTGCCGCCGCCCAGACCCACGCTAACACCCGCTGTGGGAGAGAAGGCTAGAGATGAGGAAAAGAATACTCTCTCTCTCTGTCTCTCATCTAGCCCCAGTACCCCCTCCTGACCACAGCCCTCGCCTCACCTCCTGCTGGTTGGTGAGCTGTGCCACTGTTGATAGTCTCGTGGGTGTCAGGTGGGAAGAACAGGCCGGTGGGTTGCTGGACCACCGAGGGTGCGTTCTGTGGCACCTGATATAGTCCGTCCGGCGCCACCACCTCCTGCTGGGCTGCTGTTGGCTCGATGGGTAGTGGTGTCTGTGGGGGGTGGGTAGGGTAGGTCTTTACATTTTAATTTTATTTAATTTACTTTCATTCGTTCATTATTCATCTACTACATGCTGAACCTGTATAACGATTCTACTGAATATTTTGCTGGCTGTCTATTTCAAACCCGCAGAACCAAATGAATGTAACTAAATGTAGAGAAGAACAAAGTAATCTCATACAAATTCTGTTAACGTAGGTGCGGTGTCGTGTTCCTTCAATTTGATAAAGTTACCCCTTAAACCTTGCCAGACTATATTCGTTTTCTTCTATACTTGTTAGTAACCGATAAAATGAGATGAATAAACAGATTTACAGATATTCAGAGAACTCGTCATACAAGTTAACATTGATTTAGCATGTACTGTATATAGGCAAGTTAAATACATCGCCTCATGAATTCGCAATATTAATCTGAAATTATTCATAGATATCATAGAATATTTACATTTTATTTTACATTTTGGAAATATTCTGGAATGTACTGGAAAAATACGATATAATATTTAGAAAGGTTATGTATAAAAGAACTTATAAAAAATATAGATCAGTTTGCCTTCAGATATTTCAAGAAAGAAAACGTAACAAATTCTATAATGGATAATTTTTTCCCTGGACTTTTATGCAGTTTAGGGTAAAAAGTGAAGTACAGTTGTGAGTAAAATTTGTATATAATATTAGCGGTTTAATTTGGAAACTATTGAACTTCTTATACCAATAATACCAATAAAAATACCAAGCAACATACTAGACCATTAGGCTGTACATACCAGTAGCGTACCTGTACCTGGGATAGATTGTACCAATAACATACCTGTACCGGGGGTAGGTAGCTGAGGGGTGGGGGGTTGTTCTGGACCTGGTTGGGGGGATTGAGGCCCACGGGCACCAGTGTACTTAACCTGTATTCAAGAGAAGTGTCTGTAATACCTAAATCATCCTTCACAATCAATTTAATATCACACTAAACCCTCTCATTAACAAGTTTCACTACAAATTAATAAATGTATTACCTGGTTCTCCCTGGGGGAAGAAACTGCTCCTGGCCCAGCTCCCCCCTGGTGATGACTTCAATATCCCCCAGCTTCTCCGCCGTCACCACCGCCATCACCACCGTCACCACCACCACCCACATCTTCCACATCCTGGCGGTAAACAGCCTTACTAACGTCCTCACAGTCTGTAAACACCAGTAAAAATAAATTCTGATGATATAATGCTTTAGTACACTCCAACAGCTATGGGTTCGTAACCGTGTATACCAGATTAGGAATTACAGTCGTCAGCAACTAAAAATTATGGGAGGTTATGGTCTACGTATGAAGGAAACGCATGGTAGTGTAATTTCCATATGTTAGTTGTATCATAGAAATGTTTCGCTCATGTAGATGTGATCAGAATAGTACCAAACATTTATTACGGTTTAGTTAATACTCGTGTACTCTACTTTCCCCTCTCGTGTATAGCCCCTCCCATCTTCTCCCTCTGACGTCCCCCCCAACTCTTCCAGAACACTCGTAAAAGGACAAGATATTCCCCGTAATTTGTAATAGTCAGCCAATTATACGAGAAACTTGTGAGGAGACTTGAAGGAGGCAGGAGGTATAGATAGTGATCTTCCCCGGGTGGCCACACCTCCTCCATAACATTATCCCCCTGGTGTATGGTAACACTGCTCTCCATAGCTGCCAACTCCGCAAAACTACAGATCCCGTTTATAAATGGTTAGTCTATTCATTCATCCTTCAAATTTATTATTTACACAAACATATATGAACAAACTCGAAATTTTAACACATGAATATACAGTAAAATTATTCTTGTTGATATAATTATGGCAGCTGTAGGTGTTGTGTACGGTAAAAGGTTGGTCATCCTGTGTTTGGGCCGAGTATACGGGAAACCCCATCCCAACATACCTCCTTTGATTCTCCTGTCAGTTTTTCTGCCAGTATTATCAGTATTCAAGTAGTTAAATAAATCTCATAATATATAATGTTCAAAATATAAGTCGTAGAACATGACATCACATTTGATTTGTTCTTTACACTCGTTCTATGCGTATATAAGATAATGTCAAGTTATACTCTATGGTACAGGTGGCAACTCTGCATCTTCGTCATAATGGTAATAATAATGACCGCCAGAGTATTACAGCGTCTGGTTGGTTATTCGCCAAGGAAGAAAATGAAGAAGAATAATATCCCCTTCAGCGTCTGAGAATCCCAAGACTGTTTCCTCGGGGTTTTACAGAGTAGATCATTAATGCCAATCTTCCAGGCGTTTGAAGCCCCGACCGACGCTTGTGACCTGTCATAATTTATACATTGTCCTCTTACGAATGAATGAATGAACGCTTGGGCTTTGTATAACTTTTTCGTTTTATGGAAATAGTTTTTAGTCATGAGTGTCGCTTGTATGTTTGAATGTTTTTATTTTCGGTTAATTTGTACATTTTCAACAGCGTCACTTACTTGTTTTATCGTTTTTATTCAGACTTATATATTCGTTTATTTTTCATAACGCCAATTTGTTTTTAGTTAATGGCCATAATTAATCCTTGTGAATTCATTCATTTGTTTCATTAAGTGTTGAGGGTGACTCACGGCTTTACTTAACACTACTACTTAACCCTAAAGTATAACTGTGGTGTCATTTGTCGTAATTGGGTGTTACTTAATAGTTAATAAGCTGTGGTTTGCTTTTGCCTTTTTAATTCGGTTTACTTTACACTTGTCACGCACACAGCCATATACAGTAGTTACACCTAACGCACACATACACGTATACTTGAGACATACACACATATAAACACTTACAATTAACGCATACTTAAAATACACACACACACACACACACATTCAGTACACTTTACACACACACACACACACACACACACATACTTAACACTTGATGAGATCAAACATATTAGTTGAAGCAAATATTTATAAGTAAAAAAGTATAGCGTTTGTAAGTCTCATCTCTCTCTTTCTCTTCGTCGTCGTCTTTTCTCCTGTCATTCATTTATCTAATTCTTCTCTTCCTCTTTTTCTCTTCCTCTCTTTCTCTTCTCTTCCTTGACTTCCTCCCCCTGTGTCTTTTTCTTCCCCATTCTCCCCCCCCCCATCTTCTCCTCTCCTCCTCCTCCTCTTCCTGCCAGCGCGGGTGTAGAGACGCGAGGCCTAAAATTTGTTGACCAGACCTATTATGGACTAGACCCCCTTCCCTCACCCTCCTCCCGCCTCCCCCGTCCCACCCCCCCCTCCGTCCCACTCACCACCTCCAGGACCTCCTCACCTCCCTCCCAGCCTCCACCTCCCTCCCCTCAGCCCCTCCCAGTCTCTCTTATCCCTCCCCCGGCCTCTCACCCCTCTCTAGGCTTCCTCACCCCCTGGCCTCCTCCACCATCCCCCTGGCCTCCCTCCCACCATCCCTGGCCTCCTCACCCCCTCCTAGTCTCCCTCACTGACCCCCCCCAAATCGTAGCCTCACACCTCACCTCCTCTCTCACACCTCACCTTTCTCCCTCACCTCCCTTCTCACCTCCCTCCTCCACACCTCCTCTCCACCTCCTCCTCCCTCCCTCACCTCCCTCCCTCTCTCCACACTCCCTTTCTCCCTCATCTCCTCTCTCACCCTCCCTCCTTCCCTCACACCTCACCTCCTCCTCACACCCACCTCCCTCCCTCCCCTCACCCCTCCCTCACAATCACACAGAGACGTGAGGCCATTTTTCTTATATATAAATAACAAACCGACAGACAAACAACCATTACGTGTTTACTCATGACCATAATAAAGTTAACGAAATATATGACACTAACTGGCGTATTACTGTTAGTAGTGGATGTATATAGCAGACCGGCAGTCATATACCTAAATTCGGGAAAATATTTGAGTTTCATGATGTTTGTTGTATAAAAATCAGGTGTTTGGGAGATGTGGATGTTTTTGTTTTTTTAATAATGTCAGGTTCTCCTTTAGAGTGCGTTTAATGTAGTTACCCTCAGTCAAGTGTTTACGTAGGTGTAATCAGTACAAAGCTCCTCCCCCATATTACTGCCTCCACACACCCCTCCCCTTATCCACCCCATCCTTATCCTACCCCTCCCATCCCCCTTATCCTACCCCTCCTATCCCCACCCCTCCCCTTATCCCACCCTCCCCTTATCCCCACCCCCCTCCCCTTATCCACCTCCTTATCCCCATATCCCACCTCCCCTTACCCCACCCCTCCCATCCCACCCCTCCCCTTATCCTACCCCTCCCCACCTCCCCACCCCTCCCCTACCCCACCCCCTCCCCCTCCCTACCCCACCTCCAAACAATGCAATTAGTCATGGAAACAGAATAATATCCGTGTGTTGTGGTCTTGTCTTGCCTCCAGTACAGTGAGGACTAAAGCTACTGTGCTGTATATAGGACGCAGGGGTTATGTATATACACTAGAAGAGAGTCTGTTGAGCAAGTGTTGGATTAGGTGGTTCCTCTGTGGAATTATAATGAGTGGTTGGTAGTCTTGGTATTAAGCCTTTGTTTCTAGAGTATATACACCTCTCTCTCTCTCTCTCTCTCTCTCTCTTTTCCCCCAACTTCTCATAATCTCCAATTTCTCCCTTCTTCCTCACAACCCCAGCCCCCCACCCACCCCCGGTCTTCCCGTCCTCCCTCCACCCCAGTCTTCCCCGTCCTCCTCACACCCGGTCCCCCTTCCTCTTCACCCCCCCCCCAGTCTCCCCCCTCCCACTGTTATTAAAACCCACCTTGAAGATGGTAGGGGTGACTGGTCCAGTGACACAACATACCAGTAATGTCATACCCAAGAACATTATATTATACACAGTGTGATGTACATTTATTTTTCGTAAGTAAGACTCATAAACCATCATAGATACATCAGGTAAGTTATGAATCTGGTTTCATGGGTAAAGTGTACAGTTGGGAGCCAAATTACCTGGACATATTTGTATTAATATCTAGTATCATCTGCTTCAGGTCATGTCTGTATAAAGGTGATTTGAATTTGAATTTTTATTCTGATTTGTATTTATTTATGTGTTATGTAGTTGTTGTTTTTTAATTGGGAAATGTAAATAGAAAATATCGTTCACTAGTTATATGTAATTAACTAATGGTGTAATATATGACCTATAAGTAGATGACTCTGTGTGTGTAATAATAATAATAATAATAATAATAATAATAATAATAAACGGTTTATTAATAGAGTTGCAGCTGGTGGCTGAAAATATGCAAACTTACATCTGAATTAGACATAATGATATGCGTTCAATACATTTACAGGGCTGTACAGTACATAAAAAGGAGGTGTGTGTGTGTGTGTGTGTGTGTGTGTGTGTGTGTGTGTGTGTGAACAGAGTAAACCAGACGACAGACGCTGAGTCATCCTCCACCAGTCTGGTGTGAGAGAGAGAGAGAGAGAGAGAGAGAGTTGAAAGGTAAATATAAATATGGGAGAGTAGACAGAGAAATGACAAGAGGTAAAATAGAGAGAGATGATAGGGTAGAAAGGTATACATAGATAAATGAATAGACGAGAGAGAGAGAGAGAGAGAGAGAGAGAGAGAGAGTAACTTGGTCTACACACATTACCGAGACGCACCCAGCCACCCCCTACCCGACCGCTACCTCAGGAAAGAAAGTTCAAGGGCACCTGACCAACACACGGACCAGAGGGGGAGCTTGGGGCTATTGGGTGTGGTGTAGGTGAGAGAGAATGGTGGAGGTGATGAGATACAACGTCTTAGACACACACACACACACACACATCGTCATTGTCTCGTTCCAGTCACTCAATGTCAATCAAGGTGCCATACTTGTACCCGAGGGTTGCGACCACGGCCTTCCACTCCAAATATTTTCGGGGAGAAGAGGGGGTTGGGAGAGAAGAGGGGGAGGGGGAGAAGAGGGGAGGGGGAGAAGAGGGGGTTGGGGGAGGGATTAACTTTGTCAAACTCCTTCTAGGTGTTGTATGTCTCCAGGGACCACAGCTTTTAATTTCATTCATTGTAGTTTATTTATGACATTTTCCATAAACAACACAGTAGGTGAGGTTAGGTTGGGGTTTGATAAGGTTACGAAGGCAGGAAAGATTCTACAGGTGAGGGAGAGAGTGAGGGAAAGATTCTACAGGTGAGGGAGGGAGAGTGAGGGAAGACTTACAGGTGAGGGAGAGAGTGAGGGAAAGATTCTACAGGTGAGGGAGGGAGAGTGAGGGAAGACTTACAGGTGAAAGAGAAAGTGAGGGAAAGATTCTACAGGTGAGGGAGGGAGAGTGAGGGAAGACTTACAGGTGAAAGAGAAAGTGAGGGAAAGATTCTACAGGTGAGGGAAGAAGGGAGGAAGGACAACACAATGAGAATAAACGTCTGTCACATAAATCTCTTCCCGTCTACCCACTTCACCGTCAACCTTCTTATTCCAAGCACGTCGACCTCTGGCTGGTTCACCCCATACACATAGGCTAGCAACTCTCTCCATTGTGAATATATGAGCCCCACCCTCGTGTTCTCGGTCACGTGAGCCAGTTAGATGGTTCTCGTGTTACAGTGGCGGGAGAAATTCATTGAAAGGAGCCCGTTAGTACATGGGTCAGGAGGCTTCTTGTTAGGATTCTTCACTTAGGTTTAAATTCAACGTATGTAAATCGTTATAGTATATCACGAGGAATTCCAGTGCTTATTATCATGTGTATAATCTATTCACGACGACGCTTGCCCGCCCTGTCTCCCTTAAGCCTAACGCCGTAAGCCCACAGCACTGAGATTACCCCAGCAGGACGCCCAAACAATAACGGCTAACTGGTAACTATGACTACTATGGCCGGGGGCGACATCTGTTGTCAGTACGGGGAAGTGAGGGTGGTAGGGAGGGGGCCGGGGAGGTAGCTAGGAGGTGGGGAATGACAAGGATTAGGGAGGTTAGGTATGTTAGAGAGGCGGGGGATGAAAGAGAGAACATAAACATTAGAACCACTGCACAAATAACTAGTATTCATAGACATCAATTAGTCAGATAATACAATGAGCATAAATTTCCATTAGCTTGTTTGTATACCTCATAAAAATGGCCCCAGATTTGTCTTCCGTAAGGTGCGAGGGTTGGGTGGTACACTGCCTTTATTGTCGGGTCAGAAGCGTCTCAAAAATATGTGTTGATGTCGCTCATATAATTGAGACTGTCGGTGCGCTTTGTTCCTGCTATATCTTAAGGACGGGCTATTCTAGGTGCATTTATATTATAAAAAATATGTATTATAACGATTCCTAATTGATAATATACGAATAGTAAGAAATTAATACTCCACTTTGTTATCATTACCATCGAAAAATCATAAAGTTTACCTAGTTTCTGCTTTGAATCATAGAAAACGTACATCAACTTGACCATTTTCTTTGTTTCGTCGTGACCTTTGTGAGCTCGTGTCGTGAAGTACATTATTTAAACATTTTCACAGCGTTGGCTTTTAATGTAGTCTCTATTCTATGAAGGCTTCTTTAATTAATGCCACAGTTTTAGTGAGATGTTCCCCAAGTTCCTCTTTTTGGTGAGTCTCCCGATCTAAGGTTTGTTTAATGTCTTCAACTGAGATCATGTTCCAGGGCCATTCTGTCAGCGATTTTATTGACTTCGTGAACCTAATGACGAAGGAAGTTGTATAGGAGACAGATGAACACATCCAATAGACTTGCATGCAGTTACACACGTGCACTCACTCAACACGCGCCTCTGGCAAAAAACACAACAACGATGCTGCAACACTAGACAACACAGGTGTGATTCCTTTCTGGCGTAACAATGACCACCGCTTCGTCATACGCACCCCGCCACCACCTTGTACAATTTCCTTCAAGGGACCACGGCGTCTTACCTGCCTCATAATTACCACAGGTGGAGGGAGAGAGGAAGTTGGGGTGAGAGGGAGGAGAAATTTGGTTCTTGATGAAGTAATCTATTACCCGACGGACCTGAAGAGATTTGTGTGGTAATTTTCTCTTGAGTGAGGAATTAAAATGTATCTGAGCCATGTATTCCACGACACAAAGATGAAGTTCATTATGGCGTCCAAATTACATTGAGACTACTGTGATTTTTATATCTGTGGTATAAATTTTAACTTGGGTGTCTCTTGAGGAAGGTAACGCAAGGAGGAAATGCTTCGCTTGAGCCCGAGGAAACCGTGGTTATTCTCAGTCTCAGAACACGAGACGCTACACAGTACAGTGCATCACTGACTTTAAAGTTAGGTAAGATGAGGAAATGTTACCTTCTTATGACAGAAGCGAAACAATCTTCAGTTAACCTATTACAAGTTGGAATGTAAAAAATGAACCTTTAGAGCGTTCGCCTGTACTCTATATATTTATAAAAAAATGAAGCTTCCTCTTATTCAGTGGTGTAAACTTTTGCCAAGCTGTCTCATCACTGTCAGACGCTCCCTCCCTCCCGCCCCAGGCTAGTCAGACCCACTCGAGCTGTGTGTGATGTCTCAAGCCTACCTACCTACCTACGTGCGACTTTCTTAAGCTGGTTGGGGTTTTTCCTGGCAGGGTCGTGAGGGCTGCTGGGGGGTATGACTTGTGTCAACAGGGGAAAACCGGTAGTGCTCAGGGGTTCAGGGTGCTCAAGGTGACCTCCGGAACTGATTGCCAAAACCTGTTCTTGTCCCCGAAAAAATAATTGCCAGTTTTCGCACACTTTCAGAATGAGAAATACTACGATATAGATTATACGGATGTAATGGAATGTTGGGGAGTGGGGGTTATACTCTGCAGATAATTAGAGACGTGGGTGTCTTACACGCGATAAATTATCTAAAGATACGTAACCAGTTTAGAGATAAGCCTAGTCGGTGTTTTAAGTGCGGCGCGTGGTAGGACTACACCGCAAGTTTACAACCCGCCATCCACTACGTCTCTCCCTTCCTGCTGACTTTACTGGGCGATAGTTTATTTTTTTCTTCATATTTCCAGACGAAGACGAGGCTGGTGGCTCATTCTTACGTGCAGGAGAATGTTGAGGTCAGTGACTGTTGGTTTTATAGTATTTCTTAAGTTTGAGGACATCTAGAATACGATGTTGGTTTTAGCAGCTGACGATGGGAATTTTGCTTTCATTATCCTTTTTAAGATTTAGCTAAAATAACGTTTTCATTGAAAGGTTTTAGCTGTGTATCAGTATTATCAATAACACAAGACAATATTATAACTAGAAAAATGCATCCATTTCTTCCCCATAAAGACGGTGAAATTCACGCGAATCCAGCGACGTGTTGGCAGGTAGGAAAATAATTCTAAGCTCCGCCTAGCTCTTCCCATTCATACACTGCCCAAGCCAGCCAGACAGCCACTGAGACCCCCCCCCCCCATGACCTTAAGGCGTGAACTGAAATCGATTTTGTGTAGTCTACTAATTGCGAGGAATTTTATGATGCATGTGGCAATTTTGCATAATTGGCAAAAGTCTGTGTTTATATTCCTGTGTTGATCTTCATGTCGTTTCTCTATTGGGTATTTTGAGACGTTCTTATCTAAGTGCATGTGAATTATACCTTGATTGATATAAATAACTAAAGTAATATCTAATTCTTTATACGTATGTTTCGATTATTATTGTAAAGTATTTTTGAGACTAAATACTTTAGCTAGTAAATGTTGGAGCGAGTTAATATGAAAGTATTCCTTAATAGCTGTTATCTGGAGTATTACCCGAGTTAGTTTACATATTTAAAAGACTTGACTTGTTCCAGCTATTTCACCTGATGATTAACTACCCTTATGATATTTGGTGGGGGATGAGGTAAGGTTAGGATAGGTTAGCGTTGGGTTAGGTTAGACGTACTGGACAGTTGCACTAGACTAGACAGTAACACCCAGACGTAATGGATAGGACTAAACAGTAACAACCAGACGTAATGAACAGAACTAGACAGTAACAGCCAGGCGTAATGAACAGAACTAGACAGTAACAACAGAACTAGACAGTAACAGCCAGATGTAATGGACAGGACTAGACAGTAACACCCAAACGTAATGAACAGGACTAGACAGTAACACCCAAACGTAATGGACAGAACTAGACAGTAACAGCCAGATGTAATGGACAGGACTAGACAGTAACACCCAAACGTAATGGACAGAACTAGACAGTAACAGCCAGATGTAATGAACAGACTAGACAGTAACAGCCAGACGTAATGAACAGAACTAGACAGTAACACCCAAACGTAATGGACAGAACTAGACAGTAACACCCAAACGTAATGGACAGAACTTAACAGCCAGACGTAATGAACAGAACTAGACAGTAACACCCAAACGTAATGAACAGAACTAACAGTAACACCCAGACGTAATGGACAGAACTAGACTAACACACAAACGTATTGGACAGAACTAGACAGTAACAGCCAGACGTAATGAACAGAACTAGACAGTAACACCCAAACGTAATGGACAGAACTAGACAGTAACACCCAAACGTAATGGACAGAACTAGACAGTAACAGCCAGACGTAATGAACAGAACTAGACAGTAACACCCAAACGTAATGAACAGAACTAACAGTAACACCCAGACGTAATGGACACTAGACAGTAACACACAAACGTAATGGACAGAACTAGACAGTAACAGCCAGACGTAATGAACAGAACTAGACAGTAACACCCAAACGTAATGGACAGAACTAGACAGTAACAGCCAGATGTAATGAACAGAACTAGACAGTAACAGCCAGATGTAATGAACAGAACTAGACAGTAACACCCAAACGTAATGGACAGAACTAGACAGTAACAGCCAGACGTAATGAACAGAACTAGACAGTAACACTCAAACGTAATGAACAGAACTGACACCCAGACGTAATGGAGCCAGTAACAACCAGACGTAATGAACAGAACTAGACAGTAACAGCCAGACGTAATGAACAGAACTAGACAGTAACAGCCAGATGTAATGGACAGGACTAGACAGTAACACCCAGACGTAATGAACAGGACTAGACAGTAACACCCAGACGTAACGAACAGGACTAGACAGCAAGACGTCTTCTCACATCGTTATACCTAAGAAGAAAACACCACCTACCTGCTGGCCGCTGCGTCAGGCACCACACACGTTCTCAGAGTGTGACTGTCTCCCTTATCCTTACCTGCACCCTCCCTGGCCCCGCCCACACCTCCCTCAGCCCCGCCCCCTGGCCTCAGACAGCACGCTTGAGCCAGAGGGCGAGTCAGAGGCTGGAGGCTGAACTGTACATAACTTGATAACCGAACCTCGCCCTGCCTTTTGGCCTCTTACTACCTCAAGTCCCAACTATCCTCACTACTTAGTTTAGCGACAAGTGTTCAGTCGTCTGTATATCGAAGACAAGACACGTGAGCTAGCTGTGACATTGATCATTTTTATTAAATACACAACGAATCGTGTTGACACCAGACGCTTCAGCCTAATTTAAGTTACTTTATAATTCAAGCGGAACCACCCCCTCCCCCCCCCCTACCCCAGGCCATATTACATGTGCCTTAACTTTCTGTCCTGGCCAGGTGGAACTTCACCTCAGTTACTCCTCCACCTGTCTTTATAGTAGTTGAGGATAGACTTGGTGTTATCATGTATTGCTACGCTTCAACAACTAGGGACTTTAAGCGTGTATCAATATTAATAACTACTTGGGATCTCGTTAATATTTTAGACATGTTTATATTATTATTATTATTATTATTATTATTATTATTATTATTTACGGACGTGAGAAGACGTTGTTCATACATACCCTGGTTACTACATTGTTCACAAGGCTATATATTTTGTTATGAATGTTGTGACGCCCTATATACAACCTATAGACCCACCCTCTCTTTAATATCACCAACATTCACCGTCTTGGAAACTTTTCGTCCTTTTAGTCTTTCGATCTCCTGAAGATTAACCACCCTAACACTATTTTGGGTTAGGTTAGGTTAAGATAGGTTAGGAGAAGTTAGGGTTAGGTTGGGCTAGATTAATATAGGACACGATAGACTATAGGTTAGCGTTAAGTTAGGTTAAGATAAGTTAGATTAGGTTAGGTCAGATTAGGATAGGACATGATAGGTTATATTAAGATAGATTAGCGTTAGGATAGGATAGATTAGATTAGGTTAAGAAATGTTAGGTTAGGTTAGCGTTAGCATGATTAATATTTTGATGAAATAAGCTGGAAGGGGAAGAATCTTCAGGTGACCCTAAAGAAATTTAACGAAATCAAGTCTCATACACACAGATGCTTCCTCGCGTGACACATGCAAAACATTGACTTAAGGTAAACAAACACCGTATACTTCCTACACCGCACAAGTACACAGACAAACACAAAGAAAGACAGTCACACAAAAACATACATACACACACACACAAAATAGACCTATAGAGAATTACACCCTCAGGAGAAATATAATTATGGATGGTTGTCTGAATGAGATATGAAGTACTCCTCCATCTTTTCCCTCTCCTCTTCTCTCCCTCCTTCCTATCCCCCCCCTCCCATCTCCTATCCCACCCCCTCTCTCCCTCCCTCCTACCCCTCCTCCTCTCTCCCTCCCTCCCTACCCCCATCTCCTATCCCACCCCCTCTCTCCCTCCCTCCTACCCCTCCTCCTCTCTCCCTCCCTCCCTACCCCCCCCATCTCCTATCCCACCCCTCTCTCCCTCCCTCCTACCTCCTCCTCTCTCCCTCCTCCCTCCTACCCCCCCCTCCCATCTCCTATCCCACCCCCCTGTCTCCCTCCCTCCTACTCCTCTTCCCCCTACTTCTTCTCTTCCTCTTCCCTCCTCCTCCCCAACAACTGTACGACGATGTCTCTCCTCTACATAATTTAGGAGCTGTCAAATCCATGGTGGACCCTGGGGGGTGGAGGTGGGATGGGGAGGGAGTGGAACATGGGGAGGGTGGGGAGGTGGAACATGATGAGGTAGAGGGGATGAAGAATGACTAATATTATGGATGAGAGAGAGAAAGGAGAGGGTAGAGAGAGAGAGGGAGAAAGTGAAGAGGGTAGAGAGAGAGAGAGAGAGAGGGGATGGAGAGAGAAAAGGAGGAGAGAGAGAAAGAGGGGGAAGCAATAGAGAAAAGGAGCGAGAGAGAGAGAGAGAGAGGATGAAGAAAATGTGTGAGAGAGAGAGAGAGGAAATTGGATAGAAAAAGAATTTGAAGTGAAAGGGAAAGGAATGGGGTCACGGCAGAAGACCCATGGCTTGACCGGATAATGCCTAACCTAACCTAACCTAACCTAACCTAACCTAACCTAACAATACCTGACCATACCAAACAATAACCTTACAATAATTTGCAATACCTTACAGTACTAAACAATACCTGAGAACACCTAAACAATACCTCACAGTATCTGAAGGTACTTGACAATGCAGGTGTTGGTCAGTAAGGATATTGCGTGGTCAGGCAAGGTCACGCTACACTATGTCCTGTTAACATTCACCTCTCTCTCTCTCCTTCTCTTAACTCTCTCTCTCTCTCTCCTTCTCTTATCTCTCTCTCTCTCTCCTTCTCTTATCTCTATCTCTCCTTCTCTTATCTTTCTCTCTCTCCTCTTATCTCTCTCCTTCTCTTATCTCTCTCCTTCTCTTATCTCTCTCTCCTTCTCTTATCTCCCTCTCTCTCTCTCCTTCTCTTATCTCTCTCTTCTCTTATCTCTCTCTCTCCTTCTCTTATCTCTCTCTCCTTCTCTTCTCTCTCTCTCTCCTTCTCTTATCTCCCTCTCTCTCTCCTTCTCTTATCTCTCTCTCTCTCCTTCTCTTATCTCTCTTCTCTTCTCTCTCTCTCCTTCTCTTATCGCCCTCTTTCTCTTATCTCTCTCTCTCTCCTTCTCTTATCTCTCTCTCCTTCTCTTATCGCCCTCTTTCTCTTACCTCTCTCCTTCTCTTCTCTCTCTTTTTTAATATGAATTTTGTCTTTTTTCGTTTGTTCTTCCTCTTGTTGCCGTTATTATTATTGTTGCTGTTGTTGTTATTATTATTATTGTTGTTGCTGTTGTTGTTATTATTATTATTAATGGTGGTATTTGGTATTATCATCATCATCATTATTATTATCATTATTATTATTATTGTTATTATTATTCACCTGTCACTCAAAATTCAGATTAAGAAAGTGACCGTAATTTAGGTTACGTTACCGGAGGCGATTGGTACTATCACCCTCCCTCCTCCTCACTTCCCTCTTCCTCCCTCCTCCTCCACTTCCCTCTTCTTCTCCCTCCTCCCCTCCCTCACTTAACCTGTCATACCTGTATCTCAGCTGGTGGTTTCGGGAGGGAAGGAAGGAAGGAGGGAGGAGATGGATATGGAGGTGTCTCATTATTTAAACACATTCTCTCTCTCTCTCAACACCTGTCAGTAGGCCGGGCAGGTAACACCCCTCTAGGGCTCCCTCTGTTATCTGTCTCGCGGGGCCAGACCTCTGATTGCCTAAAGATTAGTCGCCTTTACTTCAGCTAACCTAAATTAACGTGACCTAATCTAACCTAACTTAGCATTATTTAAGGTAATCTAAACTAGGCTAAGGTAACCAAGGTAGCATTAGGGTGATTAATCTTCAGGTGAAATAAGCTGGAGGACTTATCTTCAGGTGACGTGAATAACTGTATTAAGGTGACGAGGTTGTATTGTGTACCTTAGGCTGAAAAAAAACACAATGACAATGTTTACCAGTAATTAAACAATCAAGTAATCTCATTAACTAATCACCCAATCAGCCAATTAACTAATTAACTATTCCCCCAATCAATAGTTATGGTTCTTCAGGAGTCTTATAATGATGTAGTTTAGTGTTTATTTTATTGGAGTCCCGTTCGTGTTTTCAAATTTGAATGGTAACTGTCTGGGTGACCCTGTAACGGTCGTGGACAATAGCCACATCTAATCTCTTCCTGGTTCTTAACAACCCCCGCCACGTCGCTCTTAACTACCCTTAGAGTTAATCCTCCCATTACTCAGCTTTTTTTTAAGCACACACACACACACACTTACATATGTACATTCACAACTCATAATTCACCAATCATCATTTGGTGAATAAGCTGGGGTTTAATATTAAGGTGAAATAAGCTGGGGTTTACTTTTGAGGTAAAATAAGCTGGGGTTTACTTTTCAGGTGAAATAAGCTGGGGTTTACTTTTGAGGTAAAAAAGCTGGAGTTTACTTTTCAGGTGAAATAAGCTGGGATTTAACCTCAATATGAAATAAGCTGGGGTTTACTATTCAGGTGAAATACGCTGGAGTCTAATCTTCAGGTGAAATAAGCTGGGGATTAATCTTCAGGTGAAATAAGCTGGGGATTAATCTTCAGGTGAAATAAGCTGGGGTCTAATCTTCAGGTGAAATAAGCTGGGGTTTAATCTTCAGGTGAAATAAGCTGGGGTTTAATCTTCAGGTGAAATAAGCTGAGGTTTAATCTTCAGGTGAAATAAGTTATGGTTTAATCATCAGGTGAAATAAGCTGAGGTTTAATCTTCAGGTGAAATAAGTTATGGTTTAATCATCAGGTGAAATAAGCTGAGGTTTAATCTTCAGGTGAAATAAGCTGGGGTTTAATCTTCAGGTGAAATAAGCTGGGGTTTAATCTTCAGGTGAAATAAGTTATGGTTTAATCTTCAGGTGAAATACGCTGGAGTCTAATCTTCAGGTGAAATAAGCTGGGGATTAATCTTCAGGTGAAATAAGTTATGGTTTAATCATCAGGTGAAATAAGCTGAGGTTTAATCTTCAGGTGAAATAAGCTGGGGTTTAATCTTCAGGTGAAATAAGCTGAGGTTTAATCTTCAGGTGAAATAAGTTATGGTTTAATCATCAGGTGAAATAAGCTGAGGTTTAATCTTCAGGTGAAATAAGTTATGGTTTAATCATCAGGTGAAATAAGCTGAGGTTTAATCTTCAGGTGAAATAAGTTATGGTTTAATCATCAGGTGAAATAAGCTGAGGTTTAATCTTCAGGTGAAATAAGTTATGGTTTAATCATCAGGTGAAATAAGCTGTTACTATATAAACTCAAACACCGGCCCAACACACCAGTAATATGTGCCTTACCTGTTTGGCTTCACATTATAAACACCTGTTGCTCCTTGGCATCATACAGTGTGATGCATTCATAAGGTAAACTCTTAACCCATTGATAACAGACTTGATTATTTTTGGTCAGTCTGTCTTTACTTCAGATTTGTATAATGCATGTTATGTGGTCATGTTATGTGGTCATGGTATGTGGTCATGGTATGTGGTCATGTTATGTGGTCATGGTATGTGGTCATGGTATGTGGTCATGGTATGTGGTCATATTATGTGCAGTATTGTTATCAGATGAGGTCATTAACTCTGGATGTTATTGTCTCACCACAAAGCCTTATTAAATTTACCTTGGAGAGAAATAGAGAGTTTTAAGTTAGAATTGAAACATAAGAAAGTAAAGTCCCAAATAGCCATAGATGAAAACAAGACGATAATAAGTGTGAGAGGAAGAGAGAGACAATGGGTCATGGATGAGAGAGAGAGAGAGGTTGTGGGTATTAGGTATGGATAAGGATAGTGGGATCTAGCTAATGGATATAGACAGATATGTAGATGAAAAGTCTTGGTGTGTGTGTGTTAATTTGCATAACCGATTTGGCTGATAGAAACTAATTTATGCTTACATTAAGTTTTTATTTCTTCACTGTTGTTTTTCCATAAATGTTAAGCTGGCACCTTGCATGATATCAACTGCAACATAAAAATCACAAGAGATTAATTAAAGCATGCAATAGAAAAAATATAACTTTGATTTATACAGAATTTATTTAACAAAAACTAACCTAAATTAACGAGGGTCGACTGTATGTGTTTTTCAATAAATTTAACATCCACACTCCACAGATAAAAATACTCTTGTAGGCAACTAATATCTGCATATATAACAGTAGATAGTGTAATGTTTTGGTGATCGGTATATCTTTTTCATATACCTGTAGAGTATAAGATGATTCACTCCCTGTACAGTATTAGTATTTTGTGAATTTAGTTAATTTTTTGATGTTTTATTCTCAGGTGTTTCTCTCATACTCTTATCTCTCTCTCTATTGTTTATGGTCTTAAAAATAACAGTAATTATTAGATAACTGTGGTGGTACAAGAGAGTTAATCACCCTGTACTGTACTATCAGAGGCAAATGTAATACCTGGGTGCAGTATGGACACTCCCCGAAGATGACGTTCATGCTCTGTCGGCTATTTGTCAGACCACACAACCACTGCAATGTTAATGTAGAGAAAATCAAATGTTGACTATTTAGTAAAAATGCATCCACATAAGACAAATGTTTAATTAATTAGGTATTTTTAGTGTATTGAGGAAGTTCAACAATATGATGGATATTAAGTAAATCCTTTAATATTCTGTACTGTAATATACCGGTACATACCTCATACAAACACTGTACATGGAAGGCCTGAGAACAATGATCACAAGTTAGATCAGGTAAAGATTCTTCTATGTGAAGGCAGTAGCACACAGCACACTCAGCACTCCACTCCTCAGCCTGTCCTCCAGTCTTGGATCTTACCACACTTACACCAAGGATTGCTTCTAAGTTCCTCACTATACTTCGTTCAGGGTCCCACTCCTAGGTGAAAGTACAGGGTTAAATTATTGTATTTATGTCAAAAAAGAAAACTGTTGTTCGGGGATTATTGTCTATGTGTGCAACTCAGGAGGTTGTCTCTGACCAGTGGTGGGCTTTGTCTGTACTATTACTCTTATATTTTGATACAGTCAGGGCTTGGTCATTCTGTTGACCAACGTTGATGAAGTTGTGGTTGCCTTAGGGTTTACTATCTCGTTGTTTTTTAAATGAAAGGTGCAACATTCTTTTATGCCATTTACAAAATTCCCTGAAGAGTATTTTCTAAGGCCAGATTTAATCTATACAGTGACCCCTCCGTTAACGAACTCAATCCGTTCCAGAAGGTCGTTCGTTAACCGAAAAGTTCGTTAACCGAAACCATTGTTTCAATGGGTTTTTGGGTTCCAGCTCACCGAAAATTTCCTAAATTCAACAAAAATGGTAGAAAAGTTCACTTACTTTGAGGTGTGTATGTAAAAGGCTCCTGGATGATGATGATGTTGATGATGATGATGATGATGATGATGTGATTTAGAATGGGGGTGGAGGAGAAGGAAGAAGAGAAGTCACCCCATGGCGCCATTTCACCCATAAAATTTTAGCTCTCTTGGTGTAATTTAAGATTATTTTCTTTAAATCAACACTGCACTGCATTATATATTGTCAATACCGGGTATGTAAAATATATTTCAAAATGACCAATAATTTGCTTGGAAACACAGAAAAAAAGCGTTTAGTTGAAGAGAGTCTCAAGCAAGATGTTACCTCCAGTGAAAACAGAGAGAGACTAACTCCTGTTTGCTGTGTTAAGAGGCTGGATGCCGCGCATTAAACTAGTCACTTTACCTTCAATTATGTTCAATAATTGTTAAAATGACTAAAAAATTGAATATTAAACTTTTAAAATTATTGAATAGTATAAACTTCCTGATATTTACTAAAATAGGAAGGAATTTAAGCCCTAGAACCGATTAATGTATTGGCAGACTGATACTAAAGCTGGTTGCCCGGTCAGTGCAAGCGAAAACATGTTGAGGTCGGTTCGTAAGAACTTCATTAACTGAATTTTTTTTCGTTAACCGAATTGAAGATCCTTATGGAAGGCAGTTCGTTAATCGAAATTACGTTAATCGAGGTGTTCGTTAAACGAGGGGTCACTGTACATACTTTCAATAGCACTGTGAACTGATGTACAGTATACAGTTGATAATGTAGGTGTAAGAGAGAATACAAGAGACTCATTGTAGGTGATGATTTACCTCATACTTCTCAGTGAGACGTATGTTGAGGGGGTCAACGAGGCGTGAGGTGCCCAGCAGGTGGCACTGTGGTAGGCTGTGTGGGTGGACCAATGACACAGTCAGCTGGACACTTACATGGTTCCCTGTACAATAATTAAAAATTAATTAAAGGTAAATATTTATATAAACTTCAATAGTAGATTAATTACTGTTGTATTTACAGCAGTGATTAGTTATACTTTAATAATGTGCTAAAATTTGTATTTAATGATAATTATTTCCAGAACTTGTACTGTACATAGTGGTAAGTAAGCATTATGATGTAGAAGCACACAAGTAATGGTTAATTGTACCATCATGGCATCTTTACCAAAATTGATTATTATCATTAAGGAAGTTAACATCCTCCACATTGTGAGTGGTCTTCTGAGTGATGTCTAAACAGTACAGTAGTTGAAAACACATATGGTACAAGAATTGTATAAACTATTGTAATTTGCCTGTTGTGGATAATATTGTTATTTATTATTTAACCTATTATTTCACTAATTGTCAACTTTCTAGCCATCTGGGCAGTTGGTCTGTTCTTTGTTACTCTGCAATAATCTTATTGTCTGGTATTAGTACAGGAGGAAACCCAAGTACCCAGATAAATCCTGCCATGTTTTGTATTGACAGACACTTCTGACCCAGGCTGGAATTGAACCCAGGATACAGTAGTGAGCGAGAAGTACATTACTGGAAACGTAACATATCCATTACATAAAATACTGTACCTGTATCAACATTTATTAATGCCAAGGATGACAGTAATAACAACTACGGTATGATGCTAGAAGTACAATACTGTATAAGTTATTCTACACTTAGTGCAGACCAGATAATATTGTGTTAATGATAGTTCCTCATCATTTCCAAAGATAGCGGCTGCAAGGACCACCCGAGCAAGAATTTATTTAAGGTAGAGAAATTGTTGAACTTACATCATCCACACCCCCAATCAACTGTGTAACCCTGTGTAGAGGAACACTTGAGGCAGACTGGACAATTCATCAACTATACTGGCTAACCATTATCCAGGAACAAGGTATATCAGTACTTGGCCATAGTTACACCTTACCCAAGAATTGAACCTGGTACCTAGTCACTTGTGATATAAATAAGCTGACCATCACACATTAAGTTTTCGTGGTACAGTAGTTGCTCAGTAGCCGGTAGGGAAAAGGTAACATCATATTTAGAGTGGCAAGTTCTGTAAATCCAAAAAAGGCCAATAAAAAAAGAAAAGAAGAAGCACTGACTGAGTAGAATTCTCCGGGTGGTGTGTCTCCGTGCAGGGCTTGGGGGATCCAACACCAGCACAGCCTCATCCAGCTCATCCAAGACATCCCAGAAAGCTTGTAAACTTGCCAAGAGTTCCTGCCAAGCTGTTAAGATGCAGGACAACCCCTCAACCTGCACACCAAGAGTAAAGAGAGTGATAGAAATGAAAGTCTGTTATATTGAGGATCTGTTAGATGTGGAAATCCATCCTGAAGTGAAGTTACATCCTATCGCATCCTTTATATACGATGCACTCTAGGTCAAGAAATAGACAAACAACAAAAATAAATAAACGCTTGAAAATGCATCTAGAAGTTAAGCGATTTTAAGATGAAGTATACAGCAAGTCACCGCTTAACGTTGTTTCGGTACTACGTTGCTAAACTTTAAAGACCAAAAATTCGTTTAACATCCCAGTGATCCAATACTATGTTGTTTTGCATTTTCACGGACTACTTTCTACGGTGCATCAGCCTCTCTCGGCTCGGCGCAGAGTCTCAGTGACTCGCCACCCTCCTCCTCTCCCGCCCTCCTCCGCTCCCGCCATACTCCTCCCCTCACACCATCTGCCTCCACTGCTTCACTACCCACCACACACTCCCTCTACCACCTCCGCCCATCGGTGAGTACCAATACAAACTTAGTAGTTGTATATGTGTGCACTATTTTCTATAAATGGCAATGATTTTCTGTATATGTAATGTATTTCATGAGACAAAGGGAGGCTCAGGAATGTAACTCCCGTATTTTATCTATTTCTTATGGGGAAAATTTATCCGTTTAACGCTGTTTCGTATAACGTTGCACTTTTAGGAATGTAACCCCTACGTTAAGCGAGGACTTACTGTACGTACAGTAATGGTGTAATAAAACCATTGGTTAAATACACTCAACTCAAGTCACTTTGTCATCTGTCTTGTCCTCGCCAGGAACACCTCACACAATATAATGTATTTCTCCACGCTGGTTATAGTAACTTACAGGACTCCAGGAAAACTCCAACTCCACCGGTAGATCTGCTTTAACTACTGGCTCCTCCTGGGGATATCCGGCCTTTACATTCACCATGAGGATATGTGAGCGTTCCTTCTCATCTCTGTAAAATATTTTCTTTATAGTATTGCTTAGGAAATATCAAAGATCAAAATAATTCCAACAATAAATGTGTTATAATATAAGTAGTACAGTACTGTACAGCAGTAAAATGTATCTCTCATTACTGTGTCCTGTGTTCATTCCCCAACCCAAGACAGATGTGAAGGGTGTTATCCAGTGACACTACCTAATATGGCAAAAATGTTCTAGGTACTCAGGTTACCTCCTGTACTAACACTGGACAATAACAAAGCAACAAAGAATACACCAACTGTCCAAATGGCTAGTAAGATGATAAGTGATGGACTGATAAACAAGAATACTGTACCATACCTGGTCTCAAAGGTAATAGTTGAGAAGTTTGATGAAACATTTGTAACTTTCGACCATCCAATGGCTTCTAGGTGTGAGAGGAGACACTTAAAATGGGATTTATTGAGCAGTGATAAATATTCCTCCTCCTCCTTCTGTTCATCACTGGGTATTGAGCTCTGAGAAGGGAGAATAATTCCAGTCATAAAAGAGTCTTGTTAGGTTAGGTTAGGTCAGGCTAGGCTAGGCTAGATTAAGTAAGGTTAGGTTAACATTAGGTTAATTTAATCATCGGGTGAAATAAGCTTGGTTGTATAATTTTCAGGAGATCCTAAAAGAATTTTATAATTTTAACAAAATTAATAATACAGAAACTGTCCATCAACTTACACATATTTTCTGGAATTTCAAAAGGTACTCCAAAACAGTGCTGCATTTTTTTTCTTCCTGTGTATTAGAACAGTAAAATTAGTCTTCGTGAACATAATGTACAACCTGCAGAGTGTTCTGTATACAGTATATGAAAGAAAATGGTTTCAAGTTAATGTTCCTTGTATAGTTAGGGTTAGGAAGTAAGAGAAAACAGTGTACATATATTTATAGTTTGGAAAATTTGTCTCTTCCTTATCCTAACTAGCCCCTCACCCTGATCTGTTTGGTTCTATTTATAAGGAACACCCTGTACTGTATACTGTATATAATTTGGTTTCATATATACAGCACACCCTGTAGACTGTACAAACCAGTAATTTGCCTATTTACAATGTAATTTAAGGAAAAATGCAAAAATCAAGTCACATTAAGCAACACTGAAATACTGTCGGATACCTCAAGCAGCTGGGGTCGACAACTGTTGACAATGCAGGAGAGTTGAATGTCGGTGCTGAGGGTCATTCCTTTCAGTGCTGGGAAGTGTGGAGTGTCTAACTGGACCTCATGAGCAACACCCTGTGACAACCATTCAGTAATGTTTACAGTATGTCATCAGAGTAAATACCTCAAATTCACTACTAAAAAAAATCCCAAACGGTAGACTCCTAACAAAAATTTGTATTCGAGATTTTATATTTACAAAACATACACAAAGGTTATATATTTATTTAGGGTGTAGTATTGTGTAAAAAAAAATATAAAGTTCAATTATCAAGTAATATTGTTCTGGATTTTTACCTTACAGTATAGATTGCTTTTCACATTCAACTACAGTACAGTATCTAAAACTAATTTGCATTTTCACTATATTAAACTTAACAATGCAAAAAAGTCCATTTATCTATTTTATCTTTCTGCTAGACAAAGTTAGTAACAAGAATAACTATAGTACTGTACATTATCTAACCATTGTTCAACCAATAGCAAACATTTACAACGAATGAGACTCCATGGATCAGCTGAAGAATCTCCACTCTAGCTTATTTCACCTAAAGAGTGACCACCCTCACACTACAGTATTTGAAAGGATGAGGTGTTAGGTTAGGCGAGCATTAGGGTGGTTTATCTTTAGATGAAATAAGCTAGGGTGGAGATTCTTCAGCTGATCCCTTTCCTTACCCCGATCCTGATGAAACCGTGGAATGACTGTGGTACCTTTCGAAATATTGAAGGGCAGAGAAGTGGGAACGTAGCACTAAACTCTGACACAGCCATTTTATATACCGGTATATATGTAAAATATCAGTCTATTAGATATAAAGTCTTGGATTGCCTGAAGAATCGCAATCACAGCCACAAGTTCAGAAAATTGTCAGGGCAAACTTTTTAGTAGCGAGTTATAAGCTCGAGGAACAATCTGCCAGTGTGTTGTTACTGAACCAAGTGTGAGCTTTATCAAGACCAGACTTGACCAACACTGGCATACATACAGATACATTCTGGAACCAGTGCATGCTTAGTACGAGCCTATCAGTGGGGAGGAGGGTAAAAGTAGATGCCATTGCCTATGTGCCTTTAGCAATGCCAGAAATAAAGCCAGTGAACAGTTTGGATTCCAGGAGCTAAACCTCCCTGGTAGCCGCTGTCACACCTAAACTTATCGTTATTAATGCACATAATCTAATTGTCTAAACCTATAAGACTGCTGCACTAATATTAAATAGAGTTTATCCTCAGGTAACTCAAATTTCTTTCACACCACCATGTTCAAACACTGTTGAGAATGTAAACAAACATACCAGGTCCGTTCACGATGACGTCACGTATTAACAAGAACGACCTCCAGTTGATATATATATATATATGCAAGTAAATCACTGTAGGTGCGCGTGATCTAGGTATATGCTGATAACCACAAGGAAAGAAGAAAACACGAAGTTCCCAAGCGCTTCGTGTTTTCTTCTTTCCTTGTGGTTATCAGCATATATATATACGAGTTAACCCTTATGCGATTTGGACTTGTAATGTGCTGAAAGGTGGTGTTCTCTGCTATGTATTTGCCTGTCAAATGATATCTCGAGTATTATCTTATTTTTTATTTTTTTTTTTTTTACTGTAATCCAGGTTTTTCCCGACCCTACTCCCTTTGTTACGGGCAGCTGACAAATTAAGAACCTCTGTACAAATATTCTGAAATTTCATCTTGCCATATTTTTCCTATTTTCTTAATCTGACTCTGAGGGGTGCCTAAAGTTCAGTTGATCCCTGGGGTGCCTAAAGTTCAGTTGATCCCTGGGGTGTCTAAAGTTCAGTTGATCCCTGGGGGTGCCTAAAGTTCAGTTGATCCCTGGGGTGCTCTAAAGTTCAGTTGATCCTGGGGTGCCTAAAGTTCAGTTGATCTTTGGGGTGCCTAAGTTCAGTTGATCCTGGGGTGTCTAAAGTTCAGGTTGATCCTAGGTGTCTAAAGTTCCAGTTGATTTTTAAAAGTTCAGTTGATCCCTGGGGTGTCTAAAGTTCAGTTGATCCCCAGTGCTAAAGTTCAGTTGATCCCTGGGGTGTCTAAAGTTCAGTTGATCCCTGGGGTGTCTAAAGTTCAGTTGATCCTTGGGGTGCCTAAAGTTCAGTTGATCCCTGGGGTGTCTAAAGTTCAGTTGATCCCTGGGGTGTCTAAAGTTCAGTTGATCCTTGGGGTGCCTAAAGTTCAGTTGATCCCTGGGGTGTCTAAAGTTCAGTTGATCCCTGGGGTGCCTAAAGTTCAGTTGATCCCTGGGGTGTCTAAAGTTCAGTTGATCCTTGGGGTGCCTAAAGTTCAGTTGATCCCTGGGGTGTCTAAAGTTCAGTTGATCCCTGGGGTGTCTAAAGTTCAGTTGATCCCTGGGGGTGCCTAAAGTTCAAGCTGATCCTGGGGTGCCTAGAGTTCAGTTGATCCCTGGGGTGCCTAGAGTTCAGTTGATCCCTGGGGTGCCTAGAGTTCAGTTGATCCCTGGGGTGCCTAAAGTTCAGTTGATCCCTGGGGTGCCTAAAGTTCAGTTGATCCCTGGGGTGCCTAAAGTTCAGTTGATCCCTGGGGTGCCTAAAGTTCAGTTGATCCCTGGGGTGCCTGAAGTTCAGTTGATCCCTGGGGTGCCACTGCCATTTTCCCCGAGTACCTCTTCCTCCCATTCCACTTGCCCCAATACCAACCTGTCACGTCACCCGCGCCAAAATTTGCCCACCGACTACTTAAAGTAGCCTAATTTACGTGAAAACTACCAACAGGAGGTGGCGTAACTACAAGCTTCCAAAGTTATGCTGAAAATCTTCATATAGACGCTGGTAGACCTATGGAACGGTCTATTAGTTCAAAATGTGGAATAAACAACATCCCCTGGCCTCAAAATAGCTCTTAACAAAATTATCAAGAACAGTGGAGAGATCCTACACTGGTCCCCTTCCCTCGCCATGGTCACCTCCAGTAGGTGCCAGTAGGTAGATATGGTAAAAATAGCGTATTTGGCAGTGTAACGCCATACGATTTTATTCAGTACAGATCCTTCGTACCCATCGGGTTAATGAACTTTCTTCACTGCTTAAGTTTCTAGTTTGGTGTGAAAGGTTAATGTGTACTGTGAAAAATAATTATATTGTACACCAGCTATACGTGTACTGTACTGTAATGTACTGAGCCGGATAGCCACAACCTGTCAGTTTTCAATCACTTAAAATATAGAAATTACCTGCGTTAAGGACGGAATGTAATTTAATCAATAGCAAGGTGTGCCCTTTATTAAAACTAATTAAATATATTAATTTATATTGTAATCGCTAATAGTTTTTCTAACGGGAAGTTTTATATACCGTACATAATGTATTTGTTACAAAAAGGTTTTCACTGAGCTTCTTCAAACTGAATTTAGGTCAAGTATATTAATCAAGCTCGTGAGCCAATTCTCATAAGGTATTTCAGTTTACCTTGCCATAGTAAAATGTACTGATATGTTCAAATTTATTTCCGATAAATGTAATACTTGATATTAATATATTAGTTTGTATATTAAGGAAAATTATTGAGCGGTGTGTGGGAGGGGCGTAGAGCGCGGGGCCGCCTTCCTCAGCTGAGCATGTAAACAACATCATCTGGCGGAGAGAGACGCACGGGAGGACGACCGTCTTAACATCACTCAAATGGGCATTAAAAAGTTTGACATTGTGTTAGACCCACACCAGCAATCATACTGCAGTGGGGAGGATGTCGTTGGACGTGTTTTAGTCCATTCTGACTGTATTACATCTTGTAGAGGTAAGTACTTATGGCCGTGTGTAAGGTAGATGCGTACATAGTACCCCATGTACAGTATCTTCATGTTATGATGGACCAGTCATTGTATTTATCATGCTTTTATACTATTAGACACTGGTTTTAGTTCTTCAGCAAAGAAATAGTATATTTTTATATTTTTCAAGCGCTTTCCTTTGTTCCCACAGTCCCAGACTTTGGTACCTTGAACAAACAAAGAAGCAACTTGTACAAGTTCCTTAACTTGACAATAATATGTTTCTTACCGTTTGATACGCTTTATTAATCATGAGAGGAGTCACTTGTGACTTGTTAACAATAAAATACTTAAAAAAACTAGATCAAATGAGTTTGTACGATCTTACATGAGACATATGCAGTCCTCTTGTGAAGTTGTTTTGTAAAACAAAATGAACAGACAAAACCAAACCTCCCCTCACAGTCTCGGATTATATTTTATTTAAGTAGTTTAGGTAGGTCAGGTGTAGGTGGTTAAAAGAATGTAAGTGAAAAATAACACATCTGTATTGATACCCAGCGTGTTGTTCAGAGGATGACATGGTTGGTCTGGCCCTAGCTCCAACTTGAGGAAATTTCTCGACAGAGTGACACGAAGTGCATGAGGAGTTTTGGGGTAATATATTTTACTTCCACAATTGTTGGAGGAACACAACCTGTAGGAATGGCTCTTTTGCAAAAATTAATTTTATTTTATTTTAGATTAATTAAATAGAAAATTACTTGTATTTTAGATCAGGTTAGGTTTGGCAATTTAGTTTTCATTTTATGAATGATAAATTATCGAATGTAGCCATATATATAAAAAAAGTTCTATTGAAAGAAATGAACACTCGATCGCAGAAAGTAAACATAGTAGCTGGAGGCATCTCCTCCAGAGATGAAAAACATACACAATTATAAAAGTGAAATGACGCAAAATGTATTCCGGCTGTATTTTTCGTGTAGTTTCCTCAAGTTTGTGCTAAGACAAGACCACTCTCATTAAGTATTACCGAGTCATTATTTATATAAAAATATCCTTTTTAAAATCTTTAGATGAAATGTTTGCATTGAAAATTTAGTGGAGGTATAATGATAAAGTGGGTGACTTTCATGGCTGTGTCCCAGTTTCAACCACCTGGTCAGATGTGAGAAGGGTGTTAGCCAGTGTGACCCCACCAAACATGACAGGTTATGTCTGGGCATTCAAGATTTCCTTCTGTACAAGCACTGGACAATAAAAATCATAGCACACTAACAAAGTAACAAAGAAAAGACCAACTGCCCAAACAGCTAGTAAGGTGAGAAGTGGTGAAATGATAAATACAGGTTCACAACCCTTTATCCGAAATTCCCAAAACCGAAAGTTTTTTGTGGAGCAATTTTTTTTTTTTTATAAACAGGGATTAGCCCACCCAGGCATAGATCACTGACTCACATCTGGGCCTGGTGGGCGAAAATGTAAAAGTAATACTAATTATAATAATAATTATTCATAGTAAATAAAAATTTTAATTAAAAAATACACCAAAATAAAATAATAATAATAATAATAAAATATAATAATAAAATTTATAATAATAATAATAACAATAATACTGTATTAATAAAATAATGATAAAGAAATAAAAGAATGAAAAAAGATAAAAAGTGAGAAACATGACCTAGACCTATGAATAATAATAATAATAATAATAATAATTATTATTATTATTATTATTATTATTATTATTATTATTATATTTTCGCCCCCTAGGCCCCAATGTGGATCAGTGACTTGTGCCTGGGTGGGCTAAAAAAAAAAAGACTAACCATTCTGAAAACCGAAAAATTCCGAAATCCGAAATGCCTCTGACCCAAGGATTTCGGAAAAGGGATTGTCAACCTAAATATATATATATATATACATATACATCAGTGATTACCATACAGTATAATGTTACTCTGTGAATGAGATCAAATACCATGTCTTTAAATTTTACCAACTATTATTAGGAGGTTGTTCATACCTTCATTATTCATAATAAGAATTTATTAGATACAGTAATCATTGTATGTTTCAGAGTTTTAAGTCTCATTTTACATAAAGCTCTGTGAAAAAGGTTGTTGCAGCTGAATTGATACAATGCTCATCTCCTGTCCTCAGGGTCACTGGTTTATGTCAGGGGCACCCCCAGTCTGCCCAACTGTGAATATGTACCTAACTTAACATTTAGGGAAGGGAAGGTGATAAAGTGCAATTATGGTCATATTATCTCTGTGTATCAGAAAAGTCTATAGTGTGCCCCTTATAGTGTAAAGCCTTCAAGACCCACACTCACTGTGTGATTTACACAGACACTCCATGGGTTACGGATGACGCAGGTTACGTATTTCCACCTTTGCATGTACATGTACTCGCCCCTAAGTCCTACTGTATTTAAAATGAGCGTCAAGTAATTCCCGAGCCGAGTGAGGATCTTTCCAACCATACCCCGGAAAATTCCGAGAAAATTTTCCCAATACCTGGAAAATTCCAGGGATGGGGGGAGTTTTTTCTAGGTTTGAGAGATGAAAACCAGGAGCATTTTCTGGAAATTTCGAGAAAATTTTTCCTTTACCCGGAGAATTCTGGGGATGAGGGATTTTTTCTGGCTTTGAGAAAGTCGTCTCGTTACCCGGAAATCTCTCATTTCCGGAAGTGCTCTGCACCCATTGTTCCGGGTAACGGAGATGTCACTGTAGTAATTACATATTTTATTTTAAATAACTGAAATTGAGAGATTACTGTATCCTTTGTATGTTTTCAGTGTAGTTTATGTATTACATCACTAGACAAAAGCTTTCAAGGCTGTGTAGAAACAAAATGAGGTTTTGAAATTAAAGAATGTACAGTAGTTAAATCTACAGCACCAAACGTAAACTAATGTTAACTCAGTCTAGCCTTGCTTAACGTTAACTCAGTCTAGCCTTGCTTAACGTTAACTCAGTCTAGCCTTGCTTAACATGGTGGTTAAAGTGGGTCCCATAGACAAGACTGTTTGTTGCTTTTGTGTGGATGAAGAAGTGTGGCTGGCACTGCACTCAACTGCCTCATCTATAAAATTAGGTAACTATTTACCGGGATCAGACCAGCAACCCCTAGGACAAGAGGCAAGTGTTATATTCACTTGACACTGAACATAACTAAACCAAAGCTAATGCATCTTAACAAAATCAAACTGTAAAGTAATTTTTATAACTGAAATTAAAAGTGACGAATTACCCTTCATTCTATAATTTGTTAATTAAAATTTTCTATAGCTCACTTTATATTTCATATATGTATAGTGAACAGTGATAAGGGATACTAAGCAGTACTTTTTTATTTTGTTGGTGCAAATTATGAGTAGCTTTGTGCTCTACAGTGGTACAATGTCAGCTAATTACCAAAAGGCCATCAAGGTTTAATCTTGGCTGTGATGGTAATTTGAGATCACCTGGAGATTTCCAGCTTATTTCTCCAGAAGATTGAACACCCTAATGCTGCATAGGTTAAGTTAGGTAAGGTTATGTTGTGTTTGGTTTGCATTGGGGTGGTTAATCATGAGGTGGAATATGCTGGAATGCCAAATCTTTAGGTAATCCATAATATTTTTAAGATAGTGAATTTTTTACTCCTTACTGTACTTCTTTTACAGCAATCTTGGTAAAGGCAAGAGGGTTTGCCAAGGTGGAATGGGAAAACGAGGCCTACGGAGAGGAAGAAGTGTACTTTGAGAACATTGTGACAGTTTGGTCAGGCACTAGTAAGTAACTGATAAAGACTTCAGCATCTTGGAGGACATTTTGCTATTTTTTGGGGTTCACATGGATGACATAAATAATAACAGGTCAAGTTATGATGTAACTTACTGTGGTCCAGGAGTTACAGTTAGATTACAGTACTGGGTATTTACTGCAAAGTGTATGCTGTATGTAGTCACAGATTCATTGTCAGTAGATTGTTGCAAAAGTTGATGTCCTTTTGAATGTAAACATTTGTGCTCGATCATTACAGTCCAGGTATGGTATTTTTTTAATTTAACACTTTAATTCTATTCAGATTTCATTATTTTGGTTATGATGAATTTTATAACCTATTGTTATTGACAGTGTGATTCTTATGCTGTATAACTCATCAAGACTTCTGGGTTGAAACCTGTTCATCTCTTCTATGCTGGTGAGTAAAACTAATGTAAAGATTAGTCTCACCTTCTTGAAATGTCCAAGTCTCTGAGAAGGTGTCTTTAGACATCACGGTTACTACTAAGGGCTGACTGAGTGGGACTTGTTGTCATATTAGTAGTCATAGAAAATGACTCGAGCTTATTTCTCGGTTCCAGTCACTTGACTGTTGTGAGGACAGTACATGTAGGCTTCCTCCCTCAATTCTTTGCCTTTTTCAGGTTTTTGGGATGTTTTCAATAGTCTTGAGGTGTGATTTATTGTAATGCAATGTTGGCTTTGCTGTTTTTGCATTTCAAGCATTTTCTTACATGTGAGTTTGGAATAACAAACCACTTTTTGCTGGGGTGACACACCTATGGTAGCTGTAATCATGTATGATCCCCAAGGACCATGTCAGTAACTTGCCTGTCTTATATCAGGTAGTGGGTGCCTGGCTCAGGGTGGTGACAAGTGTTATTGTATGAGGTTGATTGTTGGGAGAGGAGATCTTTCTCAAAAGTTGGTCTGGGTTTACAGTCTCTCTTTGGGGTTTATACAGTAGGTCTGAATACGTTGACTCCTTTCATGGAATTTTTTGTTCTTCATTTTTGGTTAAATTAAAATTGATTTGGAATGTGTCTTATCCTTAACATATACTGTATATACTTGGTGTGCACATGTGTGCTGGGGCCTATGACTATACTATACAGACATCCTTGTACAGGCAGTCCATGATTTACAAAAATTAGAGTACAAAAAATTTCTCCAGGCATCTCGAGGCTTTCCATACAGGACCTGGTCAGTTTTTAAAGAAAATTAGATTAGAAGCAACATAAATACTGTGCAGGGATTCCTTGAGTTATGTAATATGAGGTATTATTACTGTATTATGAAAAAAAATCAGTTTGTAGAAGTTTTTCAGAAAGAGAATCTATTTGTACATTGAGGAATGCCTGTACAAGTTCTGTTTTGTTTTTTCTCAAGAATGTGTCTAGAGATTTTGGTGAAACTTTTAGCTTTAGATGATTGTGACAAAACTTTGCAGGTTAATTTGTTTTTTGTTTGTTCTATTGTATTAATTTATATTTTATTTTTTAATTATATTTTTCCTTAATTTCTTAGTATGTATTATATTTGTATTATGTTTAGAATTAAACTCAGTGGATAAGAGATATATGGAAGTTATAAAACGGAGAGGGACATGTGGGTAAAGCTGAATTGATAATTATGGTCCCCGGCAGAAATGATTTTTTTTTCTTTAGTAAAGAGTATTTATTTGGTTATGTTGTACACTCCATCACCATAGCCTGTTCATTCAAATTTTGCAATGGGGCCTAGAGTCAGTTTATAACAGGGCAGCTGATTGGCTGGCAGACGGACACGGGAAAATTCACTACAATTCTTTACTACTCTACAGTATTGTATTTTATGGTTTGATATTATAAGGGATAATAACTTTAATTTGTTGATCACTGATAATTTCTGCACCTAGGAAGCAGCAGTTAGCTTATGAAATGCTCTGGTAACATAAATACCTGTAGCTTGAATATAAAAACAAATTAATACAATATTTCAGCAGCATCCTCCACCTCGCTGTGTGACGTCATGTGGTGAAGAGGAATTTACACCACTACATTTGTTCATCATGTTCATGTTCTCTTTATGATATTTTTACAGTATTACCAAAGTGTTCCATAAGCTAAGTGTGGAAATTATCAGAGACCAACAAATATTGTATTATCTCTTGTATCAGTTACAAGGTTACAGTGAACAGATTTTAGTTCGTATATTCCCCTCTTATTCCAAGCACCAGTACATTTCCTTTGGGTATATGAAATAGTGCGATCTCAACATTGTACTTCAGTAATTTAATAACTTGCATATCTCCTCTCTTATTCCAAGTGCTGTACATTTGTAAATCAGATCACAGTGGCAGCTTTATTAAGAAAACCTACAGTATGTACTGGTAGACATAGCTGAAGGTATCTGTTTTTGTTGGTGCTTCCTGGAGACACTCCCCTTGTGAATGGATATGACATTATGATTCTGTCAGTTGTGAGTCTTATTATTTCCCTTTCATCGAATTAATCATTGTACATAAGAATGGAGGAAACTTCAGCGGGTGTATTGGCCCATACTGAGCAGTCCCGTTTAAACCCAACCCCTATCGCTCATATATCCATCCAACCTATGTTTGAAGCTGTCCAGCATATTCGAGTTAATGATGATGTTTGGTAACTTGTTCCACTCATCCACTACTCTATTTCCAAACCAATGTTTACCTATCTCGTGCCTAAATCTAAATTTGTCTAATTTAAAACCATTGCTATGAGTTTGCTCCTGGTTGGATAGTTTGAGTAACTTTGTTATATCACCTTTGTTTAGCCCTGACTTCCATTTATACACCTCTATCATATCGCACCTCACTCTACGTCTCTCGAGGGAGTGCAAATTAAGATGCTTTAACCTGTCTCTGTACTCAAGGTTCCTAATGCCCGAGATTAGTCTTGTCATTTTACTCTGAATTCTTTCTAGGGATTCTATATCCATTCCATAGTACGGTGACCAGAACTGAACTGCGTAATCCAAGTGAAGTCTCACAAGCGCAAGATATAGTTTTAGGATAACCTCGCTAGTCTTGTAATTAACACTCCTTTGTTGGACTTGTTTCAAGCAAATACACATTGTTTTCTTGGTTGAAGATTCCTATTTATCATTACCCCAAAATCTTTCTCACAGTTGGATTTCTCTATAACAACGTTGTTCATCTGATATCATTTAACTTTGATGGGGAATAATTGGCTCTTTTTTTTCCCCCATTCTTGTTGTGCTCTCTTTATAACTGACTCTCTCCCAACAGGTCATGGAGACAATCTTCCTGCAGGAGAATACGGTTTTCCATTCCTTTTCAAGTTGCCTCTTAACATTCCTAGAAGTTTTGAAGGAACATACGGTCATGTGCGTTACCAAATTGAAGCAAAGGCAGAGATCCCGTGGGGAGCAGATCAGTTTTCCAGTTTCTTTTTTAAAGTTGATTGTAAATATGACCTGAGAGAGGATGACAAAGCATCTGTAAGTTGGTTGTTTTATCACTAAGTTTATTTGGTCGTAAAGTTAGATAATACTCAGTGTTGTAGTTAAGATAATACACTGTATACTTTGTTATAGTCATGGAAGTTAGATGATGTTTGATTTTTTACCAGACACAACAGTAATATATCATATTCGTCATGCATTATTCACCCTCCCACTTTGTTTCTCAGACTGTTAATGTCATTTTTCTATCTTTATTGTCTCTCTCCTATATTCAAGTTTTAATTCCCTTTTCTGTTTACTTGTAAAGCAACACACATGCTTTTTATAAAGTAAGTTGTCAGCACTTGTCAAAGCTTTGGCTTGGGGATGGATGCCTTGATGACCAGAATTGGCAGGACATTTGCCTCTTCTCTCTTTATGTGTCATTTATTAAAAAATATGCTTAGTTTACTAAACTGATACAGTACATAAAACTGCACAATTGTTTGCAAACATTTTGAGTATCCAATGCTTTGATTGTAGTACAGTACTGTATACAGTTTGTCAATGACGGGAATGTTTTGAAAGGATTTTGCATGCATCATTTGCTTTATGTCCAAGAAACTGCATGCAAATGTTGAGTAATGGCAAAACTAATAATGTTAGTGATCTCAGTGGCTGACTGACAATATTATTGTAAAGAATTCTTATGGTCTTATCATTTGTCAAGTGACCTGTTAGATGACCTACTTCAACCATTCTCTAGTTGAGTCTGCTATTCCAGAGAACTGTATGAACTCAGTGGCTCGGACACTCAACATTCAGAATCACTGCCTGGATTGTAAACTGTCCTTTGTCCATTTGTAGTTGGGTTACACAACAAGTTTTGATCCTAATCCAATGGTTCTTTCAAGAGCCAACAGGTACACTGGGATGAACACTGAACTTGTTTACTAAAGGTGAACCCCTGAACCCTTCTTTCAAAACCTTGCAAATCAGACCAAGACTTCTTATTTTCTTGCCAAGCTCCTCACTGTCTTTGCCTGTTACCTGTGTTCTACTGCACTTATGTTTTAAGATAACCATACTTCACACTTTCATATTTTCTCAAGTGATAGTTTTTACTACAGTATATCGCTCAGTCCTTGGTACAGATTACATTTTGACAATGAGGTAAGTGATGTGTGATGCTGATTCATACATTTGAGTCATTGTGCAATTGATGACCCTAAAGGATGCTGAATGACACATCGAGTACAAAACTGGCTTGATTACAGTATTCCTAATTTGTGACTTGGTCACAGCATCATTATACCACAGCTTGGTCTGAATATTCTTACTGAAATTAAATGAAGCATATCAATTGCTTCAGCTCAGATATGTGCATGCTCTACCTGTGAGGTGTACTATACTGTATATATAAATATCCTGCACACAATATTAATCGATGAATTTCACCAGAAAATATTATGTGCCTCCCATGTTTAGGAAACAAAAGGAATCGATAATATTGTGCAACATTAAACCCTAAGGTACTGATAACTTTGAAAATTTATGTATTGAAGCATTAGTTGCCAGCTCTTTTAGCTCCTGTGGTGGGAAGCTTTCTCTTAGGTGGGTGAGTGTGCACCACTCCTTTTTATATATTTGACAGTAAACACCATTGGAGGTTGTGGGGGGAGACTGTTTTAAGTGCGTTTTATATTAGAATTTATAAGTTGCACTATGCAAATATATCTGACAATTATTCAGTCATTTATAAATTGAGAAATATGATGGTAAGTCAGATGAGGTGGGTTCTTCGGGTGCCATTATCATATCCTCTACTGTTAGTAAGTTCTCATCACTGTTATCACACTTATCACATTTATATTTGACTGAAAAAATGTCACCAGGACCAGGAGCTGATAACCAATTTGTAGCCAACATCTCTACTTCAGGAGCTGCATCAAGCTCACCACTGCCTGTTTTGGCCTGGTCAGCTAGCAGTTCTGGCAACACACTGGCTCCTCTCCTCATGGTCATGGGTCTTGTGGTTTTTCTGAAGCTGGTAACCGAGTAGTGATGGCTGGCATGGGTCAGAGTCTATGATGTCTGCTGATTCTAGCTGTACACACACAAGGTTAGACTTAGTAGTAGACCTCAGCCTTTAACTAAATTCATTCTTTATGATCTTCATCAGTGAAAACCCTTGTTCATTCCCATCAGTAAACTTACTAAACCCTTACCTGTGCTCTGCCTCTCACTCTAGACATCACACAGGAGCTATTTAGGTTGTTTTCATGTACTCTACTTTATCATTAGTTATCTTCCTGACAAACATTGAAAACTAAACCATTTTAATTGTGCTGAAACATATTCAACTGGATGAGAAAAAAAACCCTAACAAAACTGTTTAAAGATTTAAAAATTACAAGAAAATTGGGATATAATTTATGCAAAATATTAATTGTTTAAATTAAAGTACTGTAATATACAAGGTATAATCTAGTTAAACCATCAGGTTAACAACTCAAAAAAGGTAGTAGTCATAGTAAAAAGTTCCAAGCAGGCAATCTGGTTAGCTTGAGTTTTCCACCTTGCTCGGTAGATTCATCAATTGAGTCTAATAAGCAGCTGACACCGAGTGATAATTCTAACATCTAATTCCTAAACGTCAAACTTCTTCAGTTAAGTCAGATCCACCTAACCTGCCATGCATCCCAAAAGGAAATTCATAAACTTACTCTGTATGAGGGTATTGATAGCCAACAAGGGCTTTTAATGTCTACACAAAAAGATACAATCACCTGAAAAAGTGACATGTCTGTTAATTTACTTGACATACAACTTATTTCTAAATAATATTCATAATCAAAGATTCATTATAATATTTTGTTCAATACTAATGGCTGTAACTCAGAGAAATGTTGAAGACACTAACAAGTTTTTCACCCCAGCCTTGTTTGCTGAATGATGAGGCCAATTGACATGATCAATTGTAGGGTCTTCATGTATGCTCCAAATTTTTTTAACTATTTGAATAAAATCGGTGAAATTTCATGTATGTGTGTGTGTGTGTGTGTGGATGAACTGTAGACAGCGTGACACAGCAAGATGCCTGACCCTGTAGCACTAGCCAAGGTCACAAATAGGTCAAAAGCATTAGTTGGACATACAGTACTGTATTTACAACTTGGCATATCTATTCTTTCTATACAATATTTGACAACTCCTTTGATCACACCTTCACCTTAAAATGGCAAAAACTGCAGCAAATCTAGAATCTTGTACTGTACTGAATAAACCTGCAGACTCTGTGACTATGATGTGAAGCAGTCAGTCCTTGTGGAAGAATATCAGGAAGAAGTCACCTGAAAACCACAAGTAGGGTAAATAGTACTGTACTGTAAAAGAAAAGTGGAAGTATCAGGTAGATAGATGTGTAATTATTTATTCTGTAAAATTGTCTTGCTAGTTTACAATTGGTTCAGCATGTACAGTATATAGACAATACAGGTATTCGGTTCTGCTAAACAATGCAGGTATTCAGTTTTGCTAGACAATAGAATATATAGTTCTGCAAGACACTGCAGGTATACAGTGTACATAGACCATGCAGGCATACAATTACCAATGTTACTGTACCCATACTGTCAATAGGTACACAAATGTTGGTAAACATTAAGGCTATTCAACCAAGGATAGCCAAAACAGTCACCAGACTCTTACCGTATTTTCAGTAGAGTTAGGATACTGTACTGGACTGCTAAGTGGTGCAGTGTGGAGTCCAGTGTGAATGTAAGTAAGTGGAAGAACCTGTAAGAGGAGAGAGACATCTCCTTGTCATTAGATACTGAAGCCAAGTGGTGTATTAGTATGATAGTTTGCACCATAGAGTATGTTTTGGTGCCTTTATCACACTTATAAACCATCTACAGTTTTCAATGCTCATAACATTCTAGCATCTAAGTTGTATTCACATGTTTGAGTATACAGTACACAAGTAGGTAAGCTAACAAAATGCTTTACATTTCATAGTGGATGCATTGTAAAGGATTTTGTATCTCCAACTAAACCTCACAGCCTTTTGTGCTTTGTAGATGTGGGGTTGTTTTACTGTATTTTGTAATTTCTTTATTGAGCAGATAATAACAGCCTTAGGAAACCTTATATATTCTGAATCCCCGTGATCTTTAAGTGTCCCATCTGTGAGTAAAATCTGCAGGGACTCTGACAACTTTTCATATGTTTCCTCACCATAACTTGTGGTTTAAAGATTCTGAGATGATGACTCTGTGTACTGTATTTTGTTATCTCTGTTTTCTTGCTGATATATTTGTTAACTGAAGGCAGTTTTCTTGTTTGCTAACTGTGATGAAAGTAATTTGTCTGTTTGAAACCATTTTCCCATATTAGATTATGATGGTTTTTTATTCCAATAATAAGCAAAATATTTCAGAAAGAAAAGGGAAAAAATACATTCCTTAACAACAGCTTAGATTCCAGAATTGTAAATACATGTTATCAACAGGAGGCACTGATGTTCCACAAGGAATCGACTGCATGCCTTTGTTGCCGTGAGGAAGGACCCATTATTATCTCCTTGTGTGCTGATAAAACAGGTTATATACCAGGGGAGCATGTACTGTTGACGGGAGAAGTGACGAACCGGGCAGACTCACCGGTTGTGTCCAGCAACATCACCCTAGTAGAAGTGAGTCTGGTTATTGTTCTGTAAAAAGAGTATCAACACCACTGATAAAGTTAGCTAGTCAGCCTTTATGAAACTTAAATACTGTACAGTAAACCTTTGCTGTATTGTGGCCCTTTCTGTCATATCATTCTCCAGTAACCTTCATTTCCCTGTGACCTTCTTGACCTTGTGAGCTCCATTTCCTTCTGTACAAGATACAGCCAGTTCTTCGTGTTCCTGTTCACTCAAAGCTTGCAACTGGGGCCTAGGGTTGGTTTGTAGCAAGCTAGCTGATTGGTTAACAGACAGATATGCAAAGAATCATTACAGCTCTTCATTATGTAACCTATCTATTTATATTATTTGTTAAGGATTAATAAATTTTGTGTTGATCTCTAATAAGTTTGGCATTTGAGTAAACAGACTATAACTGTAATATTTAAAATCCCCTGCAGGTTGGGTGTCATATGTACGAGAGAGCAGGGCAGGTTAGGATACTATGTTATCTGGTGGATGTAAATGAAGCCACACTCATAGTCTTAGGGTTAGTGTGTGGTGCTGATCCTTGTGTTGCTGCCACATGTATGATAATTTGAGCATCATACCTGGATCTGAAAGTATATTCCCTAGTTATTTAGCTACAGTACATCTTGGGTTTTCTGTGTGGAGTTACTTTTCTTACTATAGCTGAGGAAGTTCCAGGCAGTTTTGTCTTAGCTGTTATAACTTACTTCATATAGTGTATTGAAATGTCTAATGTATTCTCAGTTAAGTCTCAATGATTTATCTTAGAGTACTTTCCTTATTTGTGTTATTACAGTAGTTATTTCTTGTGGTTAAAATCACCAACCTATTAGGTATTTTTCTGATTCTTGCCTTTTTCATAACAAATTGAACTTGCCAAATATATTTGAAGAAATCCAATGCAGTAGTGTAGAAATTTTATTTTCAAGGCAGTTGTAATCTGATTTTTAATATTTTGGGACTGACCTTTTTAGATTCTAAAGTACAACTTCATATTTCAATCATCAACAACAACACTGTCACATCTTTTGCCCTTACACTTTCAGACACTCCTAACTTTACTCACCTCATCTGTCCACAGTTCAACTGTCCTTTGCCCTTCAGCTTTCTCTTGCACAACACCACAATATTCCTTCTACATATCACTCTCTCACTCTGATCACTTCTGGACACTTTAGTCATAAAAATTTCTGTTGCTCTTTTCTCTTTGGTAACAGAACACAAGAAAGTTGGTGTATTAACCTCTGATATTTTTCCCCATATTGATGGTAATCTCTCTTCTCTCTGTCAGACCATTAGGTACAATATAAGAACCATGCATAAAAAGAAGAAGACAACCTTAAAAACTATCGAACGTTCTGGCATCCCTGCAGGGGAGACAGCTGTGTGGCTCTCCATTCCCATCTACATACCTGAGGGTGCCACTTGTTTACAGTACTGTGGTATAATGGAGGCCATATATGATGTTACGGTAATTGTTATTATTATTGTTCTTAAAATTAAGACTAGGTAAACAGGTTGAAAGAGGTTGATGTGTATAACCATGGTCTTGGTGTGGTTGATGGTGACATGGTTGTTGGTGGCCCAGTTTTGGAGACTGTTCAATAAATCCTGAAGGGCGGTAAAGTTGGGAGCAGAATTACACTCTGTTGGCAAGTAGAACAAAACCCCCTTAATTCAAAATAATGTGCTCTAGCCCTTACAAATTATGAGATTTTATGAAATATGAGGGATAATTTTTCCTGAGAGGGAAAAAAAGATACTTTTCCATTATTTGCCCCAAGCAAAATATAAAATTTCTAAGTATACAGTACAGTAACTCTGTATCAAATTTGGGTGCTTGGTCCATGGTTATCAGATGTAGTTACTCAAACACTGGGCAGTGATAGAAAAACAAGTGGAAAAAAGCTTGTGCAGTAGACTGTAGATGTACACTCCACAACAGACCAACGTGAACTGACCGTGACGGACAGGTCCCGCATATGTGACGCGTAGAGCACTTTTGTTTACACTGAGATGGGTGTTTGGCAGTTGATCCCATGACGACATGCACTTCAGATATATTCATAAATGTCTCATAATTTGAAATTTTACCAAACATATCCCTTAAACAGCGATGTCCACCTACATTTGGAAGCCAAAATTGCCCCCCAAGACGAAGAAAACCCTACTCCAGGTGTTTGAAAGACATAAAAATGGATAGAACAGTCAATGTAAAGCAACAAAGCTCACTATATAGCACAAGCTCTTGAACAATTTTAATAGTCGTTGCTTTGTCCCCGATAATTAGTCAGCACTTACATTACGGTACTTCATATCTTCATTCCAAATACTGAGAACCTTTTCCATCTTGCCCATGACAGGGTCTCCATGATGCAGTGTCTTACTGGCAGCACTCGGCAACGTACTCACGGATCTCCTTTTTTTTCTTCATTATGTAGCGGATGCTCAATCCGCTCATGCTGTAATGGCAACCACAGGCACCATATCTTATACCGCTCTTCAGCTTGTCAAATAACTCCCTTTCTCCCCCATAGTCAGCACCTTCCTCACTTTGGCAGCCCTTCCAATAGAGCCTTGAGAGCCTCCAGCAGGAGCAGGGCATTTACGAGGCATGGTGAGAGAGTAGGGGAAGGTGGTAGGGATATGTAAACAACAGAGCTCTTCATGGGCTGGCAGTGTGGTTAACAGTGGGGGCGAGGCAGCATGGAACTCTCCCACGCCACTGTAGAGACCCCTCATGGCCAGTAGTGGAAGTTGTCAGATGCATGTACACAACTTCCCATGCAACCCGTAGTGCATTCCGCAGGGAGTGGTCGGGTTGTTTTAACCCGCGTAGTTTAAGGGATATGTGTATTACAAAAACTTTAATACAATGTACAGTATATAGTATATACAGTTTACAGTATATACAGTATATTGTAATATTTCAAAATTTTACCAAATAATGTACTGTAGTGTATTATGAAATTTATATATTTCGCAACAGCAAAACATTACGATTTATGAGTGATTTAGAATTAGAGGGGTACATATTATGGGGATTTGATTGTACTGAGTAGATACTGGTTCCAGAATATATCTGTACTTGCACCTGTGTTGGTCAAGTCTGGTCTTAAATGAGCTCACACTTTTAAGAAAATGTATTGAAAAAAAAAAGTATTAACCAAAAATGAGGGACAAATTATGTAACCATAATTTTGCTCTAAGAAGGTAAGTTTGTAAGTTAAGTATATCAGAATTTACCAAACTGTTTTCAGACTTGGCCATTTTAACTAATGAGGAATGCTTATTGTTGCATATTTTCCATGTTTTTCTCTTCCTCAACAGATAACATTCACAATTGGGTTCTGTTCAGAGATCAGTGTTACACAAAGCATCACAATAGGTACCATTCCTGTTGGTAAAGTGACACTGACAGTGGAAGGTCCACCTGCAAGCCCAGGTGTGCCAATACCATCAGCCCCACCAATGTGTAACACCTCAGACACTCCCAGCCACGAAATGCAGCCCATCCTACATCAGCCAAAGAGCTTGTCAGACCTCAGCAAGCTAGACGATGTTGAGGTTGTGCTTACAAAGTAGGCAGCGTTTCATGATGCTCAGAGATATTTCCCCTTTCAGGATACACTTTTATAAAATGTAATCTCACAAACAGAATAATTTTAATTCATACTGTCCTTTTCAATTTCCCTTTATTTTCATAATTTGTATTTTTGTATTGGTAGAAACATTTTTATAAACTTAATACAAGAATGTAAACAGATGTAGTTAAAATGTTCATATACATCAACAAGATCAATATTTCTATTTCTGATATCTGGGTGCCTGTTGTTTCCCTCAGCTCTTAAAACTTGTCCTATAAAGGCAAAAATTAAGAAATGCTTAAATATAAGGCACACAACATAAAGTAAATGAATATAAACATTTAACACTTCCTGCATCCGATCTTCATAACTGTACAGTATGGTTTCCACTACTGCATCAACACTAAGGCTCTCATTTACAACTATATTATGGACAATAACTTTAAATATACTGTACTAAGAAAGTTAGAAAAATAGATAAAGAAATTCTGATTTGTTTACCTTAAGTGTTTGGCCAAGTACAGTGAAACAAATAAAAAATTTATTTTGTTTTTGCTCGTCGGTGAACCATCGTAGATACACTGCAGCATGAAACACTCACACAATACCATAAATAACTAAGACGTGAATATGCATTTAATTACAAACATGTAAAAAATAACCTTTAATTTGAATTGTACTTTTGATGCTTCCCAATACTCGGAAGATTTGGGTAAGAATTTAAGAATTACAAGAAATACAAGGTCAACTAAACTTGAAAGTACTTGATGGAAGAATCTGTTGTGTTTCATAAAGCAGCCATAGTCATTGTAGGCTTTCATTATGCATGTCTAATAAAGTTTTTTAAGGCTTTCATTGTGTCATGTTATATTTGTCAGATGCAACACTTTAAGCACAAAGACCGAGTCCTTTTATACCATTTATGGGAGATTTTTTGAAGTCTTTAAGTGCAATGTGAAAATTCAGTGTGACTTGACATTGTGACAAATTAATTTATCAAACGTTCTACAGAGTTAATCAAAATTAATCACATGTAATATACTCTCTTGCAATAATTGTAAAATCTTCAAATAAATCATTCTGAATTTGTCAAGTGTAACACTGTGTCTCAGCTGTTAAGGCATCACTGTGCATCATACATCAAGTATAACATCATCCTACAACATTTGGTGTTCACACTTATGAACTATTTTTTCCATCTGTATACATTCAGTGTGTCATGTCCTTGGAGTAGAATGACTGATGATGACTATATGCCAGACAGCATAACCAATGCACATTTCTGCACATTCATGAATACATGAGTCTCCCACACTCACACATGAGTATGTTCACCTCTCACCTGCACAACCCTCACTTTGTCTACCATCATACCTACCTGTGATCTCTTTGTCAGTTTTCACATGTTTCTTGGTAGCGTTTGTCACTTTGTACATTGTGCAGAATTTGTAAAGACTTTTACTGTCTCTTGTAATATTTTGTATAATATGGGCCCTTTATCTACTCCATACTGTATGTTTTGATATTTTTTTTATGATTATTAAATTGTAAGCCATTCACTGCCTTGCAGAACATCTGTGATGGATGCTCACTTCCAAATGTTTCATACTTGATAGTTGAGCATAGATTAGACAAGCTTATTGGTCACAATATACCTGTTGGTTAAGACAACCTTGGACAAGAATATTAGTTTTGTTCAAGGGTTTTACTGTATTGTGGGCAGCTCAAGGTAAAGTGAACAGCTTTAAAATGTACAAGAAAAACATTCTTTATGGTGCTTTGTACGTGTCAGTAACAATGGTACATTGTCATTTAAGTACTACATTAACTTATTAAAGAAAATTGATCACAGAATAACAGAATTCCAGAATGTGCTCGTGACACAATCCTAATACATCTTTATTCCTTTTATAATTTATCTTTGCATTTCTACAAATATGTTATTATCAAATTTATATGTTTTTGGCAGTATTATTGTAATACAGATAGTATATGTTAATTAATGTTAGGAATGCCCCTTAATGTTATGAAGCTGGAAAGTATGTTTTGATACTGATTATTACATTTTTGCACCAATACATTTACTCTAGAATTAGTATGATATGTGATGATTTTGTAAACTTTAAAGTCTGGTGAAATGTGAACACCAGAATACAGTGCTACTTGTACCAGTCTTGTGTGTACATTACCACCTCCCCTCTCCCCTTTATTATAACTACCTCTGACTTTCTGTTTTCCCTCCTAAGTGACTCCTGAGTTGTTGGTGTCCCAAAATCAATAACTCTCTTCCCACACGGAATACGATGCCGTCATTCCCCTGGATATTCTGGACTAAAAGTGTTGCACAAGATTTACCCACGATGTTAACATGTACAGTACCTCTCTAATAAGGGATCCAGATACCTTCATGCAAAGCTCTCTGGGTTACACAAATCCCAAATATGGCCCCAGTGTTACTTTCCTGACTCTCCTGATCTCATCTCGAATTTCTTTCTCTCTCCCACTACCTCACTCCATCCCAGTAAGGAGTCATATTATCAACAGTATCCCCCCTTTCTTATTCCTGTGCCATTGTCCATTCATCTCTCCCCCAGAACCACAAACCCCGTGATTCAGAACTTGTGAATCCGAAGCATTTACGGACAGAATAATGTATTCGTCTACTGCTTTGGGTTCATGAGTCTGAATCTTGGGGTTCATGGTTCAGTACTTGGGCTCTCTTGCATCAAAGTCATTAGTGATATATTGAACATTACCAGTACCTAATATAAATGTCCCCAGATGAACTCAAATTACTCAGCAGTGTGTCACGTTATAGTGGTGATGTTGCTTGTGGTACATATCAACTCAGTTGGTGTCCATTTAACGTGCACGAGGCGTCCCTGAAAACTTGTCAGGTAACTGGATGTACATTTACCGGATGCACGTTAACTGGATGTACTCTATATTAACCAGCTGTACGTTAAGGAGACACTGACTGGATTAAGTATAGCAGTTTTGTAAGAGATGATTTAAAGATTCAGTAGGTATTTATGGAGATTATTTTTACTAAGATGCTTGATTTACTCTAGCTCAGTGGTCCCCAACCTTTTGTGGGCTCTGGGCCACATTTGTCAATGTAAATATAGTGGAGGGCGCCAAAGCTTTGGATCTACATTCAAGATAAAAAAATATATATATTTATACAGTATGGTATACTGTAACAGTTATTTGCAGTTTTACACATTTACTCTTGGATCATGCTAGCTCTCTCTCTGGGCCCGGTCTGTGGTAAATACACTTCCTGTACACGACAGATTCGGGACAAACGGGGTTCCTCTCTCTCTCTCTAAAGTCGTATCAAGTTAATACTTATTTTCATTACTTTTACTCTGACAGATATTTACAATTAAATTATTTCAAAGTTTTCTGATAAACCCTTCGGGCTCCATGATATGGTTCTGTAGTTACATGTTAGGGACCACTGCTCTAACTAATTCCCACCATAAACTTGAAATCCACATAAATTTTTTTTTAATAATCTGACTAATCCCAATCGGAAAGTTGTACTGTAATAATCAAACTAATCCCCATCAAAGAGTTGTAATAATCAAACTAATCTCCAGTAAAGAGTTGTAATAATCAAACTAATCCCTCCTCAAAAATGTGTGGGGGAATTCTGCTCAGTTGTAAGAGTTGTAACAGACCTTCTTGCAACTTGCCATTGTAAGCTCTTCATCAGTGCATTAACCAAACCCAACCCGAGTGAGTGCCTGCCACCTCTCACTGTTATAAAACCATAGTTTTTAGTTGAATAGCACTTCTTAGTCTCTTTTGCCATAGTAAACCCTCTTAACACGGGTTAATTTTTTTGGAGGGGGGGGGATCCAGTCCCTATTAAGCGAATTTCTGGAAAATGTTTGGGTTAACCGAGAAAAATATGGATGGCGATCCAGATTGCCGTCCAGTGCACATAAACACCAGCCCCAGCCACTTGGCTTACACTGCTACAGCCCTCATGTGTGCATCTCTTGGGTAACTCCTGTGGACTATTTGTGACTTTGTGGACTACTTACCACAGCTTCCAAAGGCAAGACAACTCCAAAAGGAAGTTAGAAGATGGCCAGAAAGGAGTTTAGCTTGAAGGACAAGCAAGAATTACAGTATATATATTATACCGCAGGTTAGTGACTCCAATAATTCAAACGTATATTCATTTATTTTTGTCACCACGTGGGTAGATCCGGACTATTTCATGCTAATCTGGACTCAATCTGGATTAACAGAAATTAGTCCGGAGTGGTTTGCCGGTCCAGTTAAAGCATTAATGCGAATTAAGAGGGTTTTACTGTGTATATATAAAACAGCTATAAAATATAAAAGTACTAAGAAAATTGCCATAATATGCAGGGACATTTATGAAGACAATAAATTTCTATGCTGTTTAATACCTGTATTTCCAATGTAGGATTTTCTCTGACTGTTAACCCCATTGGGATTTATTGCAACTAGTCCTGCTAGTTCAGAACTGCTTTGATAAATGTTTCTCCTCAAATTCATAAAAAAATCAATCTTAATCTTAAAATGTCTTGTATGGTATTAAGAAAATTATGGCAATAACAGAAGAAAAAACATTGAGGAAATTATTTAAAAAATATATAAAATTTTTGGTGAGTAAAGAAGTATTATGAAGTATTTGAAACCGTAACTAAAGTTTTTAAGGCCACAAACTGTAGCTATTATAGAATATGACGGCCATAATCAACTGACTGAGGAAAACTGGGAGTGTCATTAATTTTACCCTAAGCACAAAAGCTCAGTCACAGTCCCACATAACCCACAATCTTAACAATAAGTGAAACAAATATACCAACCCTCCTAAATTGTCCACCACTTTCAATAATTACTATATGAGTGTTGGCGGGAACAAGGACGAAAACTTTCTTCGCCTCCATTGGAAATATGAGACAGCTTACAAAACAGACAGGGAAGGGAATTGGTCTTGTCTTCTGTTATGGAAAGTGTATTGATATGGTCCAAGGATACAGTAGTTAGCAATGATCATGTGTTTATATATTAATTTGACTTTATTATAACCTGTTGTTCTACACATATTACCTTAGATCTGAACAATAAAGGTTTGTGCCATACTAGTCAGTACTCTGAATACTCAGATTGTTAAATGCCTTAACAGATAACAATGTAGTCGGTGATCTACGGTATGGCTTTCATAATGGGGGATTTACTGTACTGATCATCTGTCATTCCTCACACATTTAGTTCACCAATCATTACACTGCAGGGATAAAACTCCTGGAGTAGTCCTTGATGTCTCTGGATCATCAAACAATTGGGCACTGGTCCTTACAGTACTTGCAAAATTAACCTGTGGCTTTTTCTTCTTAGTCCCATTAATTACCGTACTTTCTTTCTCTGTGATCATAGAGTTTGTGTATTTCTGGCCAAGCTCTTTTCTATCACCATGAGTGCTGGAATTCCTAATGGTTCAGTACTGGCACCAATGCTCTTCTTGGTACACATTATTTTCTTCACTTCTGTGCAAATGACTCGACCCTATTATAGGTCTTTCATTTTACAACAGAGTTCTGTCTCTTGGAATTTTTTATTTGCTGATGGAGTAGTGTAATTACTAACCCGATTACACTCTTAAAACCTACTGGTAAGATGTGAAGTGTAATAATCATACCGTATTATAATAACAGCTTCATTTTCTTGAAATGAAATTTTGAATGCCAGACAACAGGCACCCTTATCTCTGTAGGAAACTCGTATGCATTGCTGAGCTGGGTACATCCAACTTGGTTTCCTTCTGTACCACTAAAACATGTTACAGTACATAATATTTAGTAACAGTCATGATATTATACAATTCAACAGTGTTGAGATTTGAAGCATTAGCCATACATCAAGTTTTTACCATGACAAGTTTAACCAGTAACCAAAACTGTCTCAATGAAGTTTGGACTCCTTTTCAAAACCAGGCCCTATTTTACCAATGACCATTTGGTAAATACTGTATCCATACAAGTCGCTGAAACACACAGATGTAACATTGTTGTCATCTGTGGAGTGTTGTGGCACTTTGCCTCCTTGATTCATTAATAAAAAGCCATCAAAACAATCGTTTATGATGTGACAGAAAATTTGCAGCCTCGGATATTCTTCAGGATATTTTGAGGTACAGTATTTCCACAATGTTAGGATGAGCTGTGCTCAATAATGCCACATACAGGCATTCTCAATCAGCCTGGTGATATCTGTCCATTTAAACAGAAAATTGCTAAGGTTTATCCGGGATATAAATCTCATGTTAAAGGTTTTTTCCAGAACTACTGTACTGTCCTATATCAGTTCCCTCAGGTTTAAGTAAGATACAGTTACTGCACTGTAGTCAAGATAATGGCATGTTGAAGGCTAGGTACAGAACAGTACCTTCTGCAGTGGCAACAATGCTCTTACACTGTTTCAATTTAGTTTCAGAGTAGAAAAGTCAAGTAAAAGTGCCAAACCATTCTTCAACAACATTTTGAACTATTTTGATAACTATTTCACAGTTGGATCATTCTTGGACCAATCAAGAGCCTTGGGTACTTTCACCCACACCATCTTGCTGTCAAAACTATATCATTATGGCATTAAAGTCTTATCCAACAATTGGTTCACCTGTCAAACCAGGAAGCAGGACGTGAACTATAACAACTGTCAATCTGACTCCTCTCCTCTTTTGTCTGGTTTACTAAAAGGTATCATTCTTGGACCACTGTTGTTCATAGTAATCTCCTTATTAGTTGGAATTTTCGATCCGCTCAGCTCTCTAATGGCCACTACTGTCATGTGACTGCATGGGCTGCCTATCATTGGCAGATATATCTTGCAGCCTATCTCCTCAAACTCTTGCATCATGACACTCGGTTTATTGTCTGCTGCCATTGTACAAGCTTGTTTGCTTACTCACTGTTGTTTCTGCATATAATCTGTGCTGTGCAGTAGAGTACTGTACATTACTGTACCAGCATATAATCAGCCAAGAGTACTATTAAAGCAGTATGAGGACATAAAAAGTGTTTACTATTGTATATACTGTACTGTACTCTACATTCAGTAAGTGTGATAGTACTATATGTACAGTACTATACTTTGCAGAGCGGACAGTGTTTGCAAGTGTGTAGAGGGTGTATGTACGTATAGTTGTCCACAGGTATAGTGCTCCATCCCTCGGTGGCCTTACCAAACATGTGGCAACATCAGAATCACATTATGAATGAATTGGCAACGTGAGGAACAACCGCTCTTCTCATATTTACTGATTCATTCATAAAGTGATTCTAATGTTGTTACATGTTGAAAAGGCCTCCGAGAGATGGACCACTATACATGTGGGCAACTTGTACAGTGTGTGTACAATCCTTCCTTCATGGAGGGAGAAGAGAGTGACAGTTAGCAACAGTTACAATAGGTGGTACAGGACAAACGCAGGCGGTCTTGTATTATCATATCACTATTTGGCCTGTCTGCATCACGAGCTCAAGATGACAAAATCTAATGGTGAGTACAGCATACACAGTACAGTAGTACTGTAGTATACAGTACATTATTTTGTGCATTTACAATACAATCAGTCCTCGACTTACGACGGGATTAGGGACTGACGACCAGGTCGTTGAGAATGCAAAAATAATACGTACATGGAAAATCTAAAATGGGCGTCTCTTTTTCTTCTCGGCACCACAAAATTCTCACTTTTACACTTGCCAGCCAATTTAAAGGAAATTACAAATGGAAATTTTGTCAGTACACAACGCGATCACTAACGTCGGGACTCGAAAATGCGTAATATGAAAAATATTTTATACAACTGCGGCGGTCGTGTATCCGGGTGGTCATAAGTCGAGGAGTACCTGTATATTGTATGTGTACTGTAGTATACCTTATTTTGTGTACAGGGTATTTTCAATATATTGCACGTGTATAGTAGTGTTTGTGTAAATAAATGCAGCTCTGGGTCTAGCTGTACGAGTTGCATAATTTAGACTCTGAAAACTTTTCCCAGTACAGTACCCGGAAAAATTCCGGGGAAGTGTGATTTTTTACGGGATGAGAAAATTCATCTCCATACCTGGAACTGTCTCATTCCCTGAACCATTTTGCACCAATTATTCTAGCTAATGGGAATATCATTGCACTGCATATAAATTATGTACTTGTAGTCCACTCCAGCAGACTCATAAATTACTTTTTATTGACAGATGATAATATTCTGTACAGTATAACAGCCACACACATCCTCATTCCTTAATAAGGACTGTGATTTATGAATTAACTACCAATATTATCCAGAGTTGGGTACAATAATGTGAATAAAAACACCTGAACCTGTAACTTGAAAAATTCACAATATAATTTTTCTTAGATGGAAAAGTTTACCCTCAGTATTCCAAGGGGTTGTTGTTGACTCACAAAGCTACAAAAACCACATCACTTCATTCATGGCAAAATCATTCAATAATGCAGTACTCTGTACCTCACTCACTAGTTGCTCACTATTGCAGCATTAAAACATTTCTACTATATTTTTATTCATCCACACCTGATTTGCTGCCATAAACTGTGGGGAACACTGGCACCGCCAGGACCAAACCTCTATCACCAACAAGAAAAAAAAAATAGTCATGCAAACAATGACTTAATTTGAAACATACTGACTACATGAATGAAGAGTTTACTAAATTGAAGATGTTAAAATTTAAGGACAATACTTGATGCTGTGCCTTATTTGTTATGAAATGAGTGAACCACCCAATTGAGAAATGCTGTACTAATTTCACTATTGGACGTGTGAGAAGTACCACATATGAAACCCAGATCTACTGAGGTTACCCCTCATTTGCTCTTCTCAATCCCAAACCTTGGAAAAAGCCTCGGTGAAGGTGTGAAGCAACATACCCTTAACCATTTGAGGAGAGACTACTGTATACAGGTGCCTGGACTCCAATTTAAATCATCTCTTGAAAGACATTTATTGTAAAATATTAAAATGTTTGTCATGTTTACTGATAAATAATTTGTTCTCATAAATACTGTTCAGTTTGTCACATACTGTACTCCCTTACTGGTAAATACAGTACCTGTACAGTAGTTATTTTGCCAGCATGACATAATCCTGACTGTGATTTCATTTAATTTTTTTACCTTGCTATTACTTATGTAGTAATCTGATATTGAGCTTTTGTACCTTTTTACTCTTCATCAACTGACTGTACAGACATACTGGTAACTTTATACTCTTAGAAAGGAAAGAGGAAATGTATGAAGAAAAAATAAATATTGTATGTGATAATAGTTTAATGTGTATTTGTTCACTCCTTGTAAGTTGTTTAACTCCAAATGAAACTCCAGGATAATTAAAAAAAAAATTTAGCCATACAGTATACGTACAGTATATTTATCAGGTGCCTTTCAAGAGAGCTGCAACTCTCAAAAGTCTCAGCCATGTCAGTATTGTTGGTACAATATTGTACAATTTGTATTTAAGATTCTGGCTCAATAAACTAGTTCAATTCTGTTTTGTTTCAATTCAAAAGTACTGTATTTTAAGATTTTTAGTTTGTTTAATTTTTCTCCTAAACTGTTTTTTTTCATCCACATCATTGATGCCTATATCCAATAGTGTATCATTCTCTACTCTACTCTCCTGGATGTCAGTACTGTCTCCATTGCTCTCATCCACCTCACCATGAACATCATCAACCACTGTACAGTACATTACTCCTCAATGCCAGTTACATACTCTCACATTTTATCCAGTCACATCTCACTTAAAGTTTTTCATCTCTTTCTCTGATTCTACCCAGGAACTTCCCCTCGTGGATACCGATAACAGAAGTACTTCCAGAGCACCCAGACTAAACATGGCACTTTGATCTGCTCTTTTCTCCCATGTCTGGGGTTGCAGGTTGTCCTTGTGTGCTGCTGGTAAGGAGGATAACAAGTCTGCAGTCAATGGATGGCACTTTTTAGGGCAACTGTACACTGCCATGGGGTGAGTATTGTACTAAATCTAAGATGGGAGACTTAAGCATCTAATTTGGTGGCCATAAATTGTGCTCTTCTCTACCTTTCTCTTCTCTCCTTTACCAGACTCATACTGTTCAGGTTGCCCTCAATTCCGATTTTAATTTGGGTGTTCCTTAAGCCATTTTGAAGGTGGGTCATAAGTGCTCTTTTTATATAGAGCTTTAATATGACTATAGTAACATTCAAAGGCCTTCTATAAGTTTACCATCTCTATGCTGGAAGTACTTCACTTCTGTGTTTTTTTTGGTAGTTAGGACTTAATAAACTACAGTAGTTACTTTCCAATTTCAATACACAAACTGTTCTTGCCCCTTCCCCCCTCTCCTCAATTTTTGGTTTTCCTTTTTTCAAATTCTCATTACAGAACAGTATAGTTATTCCCCAATAATAACATGCTGATTAAGGACCTACAGTCAAAATAGTTTATTAGACAAAATAAATTCTGTTGATGACCCTTCAATAATTTAATTAATTTTTTAGAACTTAGTATAATACAATATATGATGATAATTTTTAATATTCGTTTCTGTAATTCTGGAGCTCCTTTATTAATGTCAGTTTGTGTGACAATTTTTACTGAATAAAAAATTGTATCAATTGTGTATCTACCAATCTATGAATCTGTATTACTGTATTTGTCTCTTAGTTTGCCTATCCATGTAATGTAACTACCATGGACGTGAGTAGAAAGAAGTAGGCGATGTTGCCAATCAATTAACTTACTTATAAATTTATCAAACAATCTGTCTAAATAATTACCATAAATAGAATGAGGAAAGTGGAGGTGTTATCAATGTCACTCTATTATACAGTATATATTTCTAGCACGAATAGAATGAGGTAGGAAATCAAATAAGTACAGGTATTATTATTAATTAAATCTATATTATGTAATCAATCTGTGTATATAAGCCTCCAAACGGCAGGTGAGGGCAGCAGGTGAGGGATACAGGTGAGGGCAGCAGGTGTGAGGGAAGGAGGGGTGTGATAGGTCCTTGTTGCCCGGGCTCCTCCAGTGTACACAAACATGGCCGACGACAGCCAACAGTTGACACAAGAGCACACGGAAAAAATAGTCCAGTTCCAGGTATATATATTAGCCTTGTTCTTTTTTATATAATACATTAGATTCTTTAATATGTGGTTATTGTATAGAAGTAATTTTATAGGTTATAGGTCTATGGTTAGGGTAATAAGGTATGTGTGTGTTGGGTTTGAGTTCCTGGAGGATGTTATGTCTCGGGCTTGGGTTACCGGTTATTGTGGTGGTAATGGCGTGGTTTGGGTTTATTAATGGTTCTTACAGCTGGTATGTATGTGTGTGTGTGTGTAGTTTTAGCTTGTCTGTACTGTGAAGGAAGTTATATAAGTTGTTTGTTTTTAAGGTTAAGGTGGAGCAGGTAGCTAACACCAGATCTAATTTTTCGATTTTGTTCATTTTTTTTTTCACTAATGTTCTTTGGATGATATTAAGAAATAAAAACGATATAACAATGCACAGAATCTAATAGAACCTGACCTAACTTTACGTAACATGACCTGACCTATAAGGAGACTGCGGTCAATATGCTCAAAAATTTCACCAGGGATCTGAATATTGTGTCATACATGATTAGATTGAGAAAAAAAATATATATAGTACTTTTCTATAACGTTTCTGTTGGAAATGAGGCATAGAGAAGATATAACTGCCCTTAAGTGAGAGATACTGGAGGATATAGGATGGCGGTTAGGTTAGATGAAAAGTGAAGATGTAACCTAAATTAAGTGAGGCTTTGCTAGTGTTTGTCTTTTATTACAGTACCATGTATAGCGTTCTGCATGATACTGATACTCGGATTTACATTTTGGACACTACAGATGATGCAAGAACACCATGAACCCTAAAAATATCAGTAGCTGCTCCATCATTCTCCAAAACAGTGAATAACGCACCAGTCAGCCAATGTACACCCTTCACACACAGTATCGATCTTGAAACTGATCGGGAATTACGCTGATTCACGCACACGACTATGACAAAAAAATACTCCCTCTGATTGGCTAATTTTATTATAAAATAAAAATTTCAATTATCTCAAAACTATAAATTTCCGACAGGAACGTTTTAGAAGAAATAATGTTTTTTTCGGTAAATTTGCATTGTCACACCGTTCTCTGTTAGAAAGTAAAAAATATATTTTTCTAGTGTATTTGTGTGCGTTTAGACCGAATATGACCTTCATTTCTGGTGGAAATTAGCGGGTTTTTTATGATTTTTTTTTTCGTTGGACGTTTTCTGAAAAAAATCATGGCAAAAAACACTAGAAAAACAAAAACCAAACCTAGCCTAACTGACTCTCACCATATGATGGAATCATCTATTTCTTACCTTATTGGCCTGGTTCTTGTTCGTCATTGGTTTCTGAGATTCTTACCCAACGTCACATATGTTGGTCTTTGCGATATTTACATTGTCTTGCTCTTAGCACACTTTACTGAGGTTGGAAGAACACCATGCGATCGAAAAAATGCTATAGTTTCTTCTTTTTTTTCCCAAAAACTCGCAATCGGCTCCATATAATTTAAGTGACACCCATCGCAGACTTCCATGGTTGGAACTGAACTTGAATTTCGAAATATGAGAGACCCAAAATAAAACTCGAATTTGATTGGGCCAGATATACCGCGAATTAAACCCAAAATCTTTTTAATTGGTTGCAAAAACAAAAACGCTTTTGATTGGCCGCGTGACGTGTACAGGAACGCATGCGCGTGATGATTTATGAAGGATAAGCAGGAGACACGCAGTGTTGGAGGTGAGGCAGGCGATAATAGAGTAAGATTAATGGAAGAAAACAGTGAACATTTTGGATATGCCATCTCCGTTATTATGCATTTCCGCCGGTAATGTAATGGATGAAAATTATCTTTTAATTAGACGTCTTATTCGAATATCATAATAGATTAGTGGTAGGAATGAACGGTGTGTAAACGCAATAATACCTTTTTTTCTCTATCTAACCTCGTATGACTCAATGTTCAGATCCCTGGTGACATTTTCGATGTTCACATTTCATTAATTTTTCCACATATGTTCTTTGGATAATAGTAAGTAATAAAAACGATACAACATTGCACAGAACCTAATAGAACCTGACCTAACTTCCTAAGCGGAGCCCCCTAGACCTCCTGGCCTTTCCAGACGGTTAGCACCAAAAGGACTTCTTGGAATTGCACCAAATTTTCAGATGTTGTTTTGATGATACTGAGTAAGCAAATCAAAACATTGTATTACTATGGTTTTTTTTTTAGCTTATCCTTTGATCATAAATTACTTGTGAGTGGGCAGGGCATGGAAGAAGAGGTGCACATGGTCTGCTATATGGAAGTGTTCGAGGGCTTTGTTTACATGTCAAGAAATGAACGACAATCTCATCAGGCGTGTTTATTACAATTTATATTGGATTGAATTCATTCGTATTTTCTAGAGATTGAAACAAGCAATGCACAGGTTTGAAAGTTAGGTAGGTTAAGTCAGGTTCTAATAGGATTTGTGCATTGTTTAGCATGAACAAGGTTAACACTTAATTTTCAACATAGTGAGGAACAAAACAATTATCTGCATTAATAGGAATACAGTCTCGTTCAAGATTCTTCGAACACTGCTGGAGACAGCTGGCAACTCGAGGCCGTTTGTTTACTATAGTACGTAGTATAATGTAACACTCTTTCAGGAGGTGACGGGGACAGAAGACTTAGCAGAAGCAAGATCTCAGTTGGAGAATCACTCATGGGACTTGGAGGCTGCCGTCCAGGACCACCTCGCTCTGAGGGAGAGTCCTCCACCAACACCGCGAGCATCACCACAGGTTAGATCTCTCCCTCTCTCTCTCTCTTACTTCTCCCAGGACCTCAGAAGTTGTAAGACAGATATTGGGTTGAGTGTTGTACATTTCCTTGTGCTATATTGACTTTCGTGAAGACTTGGTGTAGAAAAATTAGGACGTCTAACCTGATATTCGTGAAGGTAAATAATTTGTAAAGGTGGAAATATACAAATGGGGAAAGGGCGTTTATGTCAGAATCCACCGTATAGTTAACAAAAATCCAAACAAGCCAACCTCCCGTCAGTCAGTTTTGGATGTGTGGTTACAAATCTTATACAGCATTTTAACCTGTGTGGCAGAGAATGTCGTCATTTTAAGGGTTTTCAGTATTCATTACTATTAAATTACAAAGCAAGACCCGGACTTGTATTGTTCTTATTCCATATGTGTGATACAACTTAGGTTTGGGATTAATTGACCTAAAACTAAACTTTGCAATGTTAATGTCCTGTATATCTTTCTACAATTAACCCCTTGAGTGTGATGTCATAACCCCTTAAGTCATCTTGCTTGAGGAGTTAAATCATCGTACTCAAGGGGTTAAATGATCATACTTTAGGGGTTAAGATGTTCAAGAGGGTTAAAACATCATATTCAAGGGGTTGTCTTTGCACTTAGGGGTAAATGGAAGAGGAACACTTTTCAGGCAGTTGATGGTTGAGTTATACGGATGATGCTCATTACAGTATTTAGATTTACCGTACCACTGATTGTTTTCTGTTACTCTTACCATGAATATATTTAACATTATCATGATTACTGGTCACATGGAACACAATATGCTTGGAGGTCATTGAATAAGTTATGAGGTTCTCGGAGATGTCTGGACTGTATTACCTGCATTACCTTATGTGGATTTGGCGTAAGACTCTCCGAAGTAATACGTTATTATTACTCTTTAGCTTTTGTGGGGGCTTAGTCCACGAGGCCAGTACTGGAGGTCCTAAAGTTTCTTTCTTGAAGTTCAGCCCAAATATATAACTTAAGCAGCATTAAGTTTAGATATCTTTGTTTGCATAATGATAGCTTCAGATCCTTGAGTATTCCCGCACATCATCACATCCTCAGCTACAGTGTTTTGTCTACTTGTGTGGTGGCAGCACTGTACTGTTTTAATGACTACTCTCTTTGTCTTTTTAGCTTACTTTTTCATTTTATTACTGTATCAATTTCTGCTCTAGGAATCTGTATACCCACAAGACTTAAGAATAATGTACAGGTATCCCCTGATTTACGATGGTGTTACATTCCTGAAAACTCCATTGCATATCAAAATATCATACAGGATCATTATAACATAGGGTTCAATGGGATACGTTCCCTGCCAGTCTGTCGTCCACATGTAGCACCAAAAAAAAAATTCCTTCAATAATAAATTAACTAAATAACAGTTAAACAACACTCACCACATCATTAAGAACAAGCCTGGTTGCTTCACAATGTCAAGCTTCACCTCCAGACACATGGTTTTCTTTAGTGCCTTGCCTTTCCCAAATGCAGGAGCCCTCAGCAACAGCTTGCAAGACATTTTCAAATTTACACTGCTTACTTCAGTCACAAAAACAGCGAAAGCACTTGGCACAAAACAGAGTGAAAGCACTTCATAATTACAGTAAATGTGAGGAATAAATAAAAATAATAATAAATATATAAAAGAAAAAATACTGCCGTTCCATTTGGCAATCGTTTCACGGGACACCAGACAGAGAACAGCTGAAAGATCCCCAACTCCTCTCCCCCTCCCCCAGTGCACATAAGAAATATTTATTCCCTCTATTTTTTTTTTACCCTTATGATATTTATTTACTTTCGGGGGAGGGGGGGGGGTCATATTACTTATGAACAATTATGTGTGCATTTAACAGTATCTACCCAAAACTATGAGTTGAAAAATAAAAATAATGCAGCTCACAGCTTGGCTCGATAAGGGGTGACTGAAATCCTGACACCGCTCCCCGTTTCCCCTCCCGTAATTCGAGACTGACGCCTGCAGATGTAAGAAATACTGGACTGTATTTATTCTCTCTTTTTTTTTCACATTCAAAATGAACAATTGTGTGTGCATGTAACAAAGTAAAAAGAAATTAAGAAAATTATTACCCAAAATTATGTGTTGAACAATAACATAGCTCACAGCTCAGCCTCACCCACTCTGAGTGCCACTGGGTGATAATTTGAAGATGCTGCTGCATAATTACGTGCTGTCTCGACCAGGGCTGTGGAGTCGAAGACAAAACCTCCGACTCCGACTCCTTGGCCTATTTGTAACAACTATTTCTACCATCCTAATTGTAATTTGTATGTTGTAACCTGCATAGGTAAAAAGTAAAACACCGTGGCTATACTGCTTTATTAATGATCTAGACGTTATTTAAGAACTACAAAAAGATGATAGGCTTGACTTTCAAAGTTTCAATCAAAAGAAAAATAAATTTATTAAGAATTCAAGATATTAACTAGAAAACACCATTTACATGTATATCTAAAAGTTCGATCTCAGCATATGAATTTTGTTTAAGCTCATAATCTGATGTGGATCTAAATGATGATCCTACAATTCCTTTTAAAGTAAAGTTATATATTTATGTACATTAAAGAAATGAATACCTTATTAAGGAAAATGGATAAACCTTACATGATTAAGTTATTAAATTAAATTTGCCTTAATCTCACCAAAAACAGGTTGTAGCTAATTGTTTTGTAGCTGAGAGCCTCTGTGCAGTTTTCAACGAAACAAAATTTGATATAATTCAAAATTTCAAATGGTAAAGAAGAGACTATCGTCCAAAATTATAGTGCTATACTGTGCCTGCTACAATAAATTCATAATAATGCTTATAAAATGGAAATAAATTCTTTTAATAATTTAAGAAAATTAGTGGGATCAGTGGAATCACTGCAATGAATATGCCTGAGTTCATATATTTGTTCTTAGGAACAGAATAGCTTCAGTCGGAGTCGGAGTCGGAGTCTGGACAATTTTACCGACTCCGACTCCACAAGCCGAAATTTCCTCCGACTCCTCGACTCCGACTCCGACTCCACAGCCCTGATAGGTACTCCTGAATGTGCTGCTTAAGGATCTGTTAACCAAAATTTGATATCTTGATTATAACTTGTTCAAATGGCTTTTAGAAAATGTTCAAATGATTTTTAGAATATTTTAATTACTTTTGCAATGCTAATTACTCGCCACTTATGGGTTTTCGAGGTCATTTCTTGGTGCTTGTGTATTATTCTGGATGTACTTAAATAGTTAGGCACATTAAATTTTAGTTCAGAGAGAAAACGTATTTTTGGCCAAAAATCCTTTAAGGCTTTAGACTTACAATTTTTGTCATTTCGGCCAAAAAATGGATTTTGTTCAAAATTTCAGTATAGGTACTCCTGAATGTGCTGCTTAAGGATCTGTTAACCAAAATTTGATATCTTGATTATAACTTGTTCAAATGGCTTTTAGAAAATGTTCAAATGATTTTTAGAATATTTTAATTACTTTTGCAATGCTAATTACTCGCCACTTATGGGTTTTCGAGGTCATTTCTTGGTGCTTGTGTATTATTCTGGATGTACTTAAATAGTTAGGCACATTAAATTTTAGTTCAGAGAGAAAAAGTATTTTTGGCCAAAAATCCTTTAAGGCTTTAGACTTACAATTTTTGTCATTTTCGGCCAAAAAATGGATTTTGTTCAAAATTTCAGTATAGGTACTCCTGAATGTGCTGCTTAAGGATCTGTTAACCAAAATTTGATATCTTGATTATAACTTGTTCAAATGGCTTTTAGAAAATGTTCAAATGATTTTTAGAATATTTTAATTACTTTTGCAATGCTAATTACTCGCCACTTATGGGTTTTCGAGGTCATTTCTTGGTGCTTGTGTATTATTCTGGATGTACTTAAATAGTTAGGCACATTAAATTTTAGTTCAGAGAGAAAACGTATTTTTGGCCAAAAATCCTTTAAGGCTTTAGACTTACAATTTTCGTCATTTCGGCCAAAAAATGGATTTTGTTCAAAATTTCAGTATAGGTACTCCTGAATGTGCTGCTTAAGGATCTGTTAACCAAAATTTGATATCTTGATTATAACTTGTTCAAATGGCTTTTAGAAAATGTTCAAATGATTTTTAGAATATTTTAATTACTTTTGCAATGCTAATTACTCGCCACTTATGGGTTTTCGAGGTCATTTCTTGGTGCTTGTGTATTATTCTGGATGTACTTAAATAGTTAGGCACATTAAATTTTAGTTCAGAGAGCGTATTTTTGCCAAAAATCCTTTAAGGCTTTAGACTTACAATTTTCGTCATTTCGGCCAAAAAATGGATTTTGTTCAAAATTTCAGTATAGGTACTCCTGAATGTGCTGCTTAAGGATCTGTTAACCAAAATTTGATATCTTGATTATAACTTGTTCAAATGGCTTTTAGAAAATGTTCAAATGATTTTTAGAATATTTTAATTACTTTTGCAATGCTAATTACTCGCCACTTATGGGTTTTCGAGGTCATTTCTTGGTGCTTGTGTATTATTCTGGATGTACTTAAATAGTTAGGCACATTAAATTTTAGTTCAGAGAGAAAACGTATTTTTGGCCAAAAATCCTTTAAGGCTTTAGACTTACAATTTTCGTCATTTCGGCCAAAAAATGGATTTTGTTCAAAATTTCAGTATAGGTACTCCTGAATGTGCTGCTTAAGGATCTGTTAACCAAAATTTGATATCTTGATTATAACTTGTTCAAATGGCTTTTAGAAAATGTTCAAATGATTTTAGAATATTTTAATTACTTTTGCAATGCTAATTACTCGCCACTTATGGGTTTTCGAGGTCATTTCTTGGTGCTTGTGTATTATTCTGGATGTACTTAAATAGTTAGGCACATTAAATTTTAGTTCAGAGAGAAAACGTATTTTTGGCCAAAAATCCTTTAAGGCTTTAGACTTACAATTTTTGTCATTTTCGGCCAAAAAATGGATTTTGTTCAAAATTTCAGTATAGGTACTCCTGAATGTGCTGCTTAAGGATCTGTTAACCAAAATTTGATATCTTGATTATAACTTGTTCAAATGGCTTTTAGAAAATGTTCAAATTATTTTTAGAATATTTTAATTACTTTTGCAATGCTAATTACTCGCCACTTATGGGTTTTCGAGGTCATTTCTTGGTGCTTGTGTATTATTCTGGATGTACTTAAATAGTTAGGCACATTAAATTTTAGTTCAGAGAGAAAACGTATTTTTGGCCAAAAATCCTTTAAGGCTTTAGACTTACAATTTTTGTCATTTTCGGCCAAAAAATGGATTTTGTTCAAAATTTCAGTATAGGTACCAGGGCTGTGGAGTCGAAGACAAAACCTTCGACTCCGACTCCTCAAATTTTTATGCTTCCGACTCCTTGGCCTATTTGTAACAACTATTTCTACCATCCTAATTGTAATTTGTATGTTGTAACCTGCATAGGTATAAAGTAAAACACCGTGGCTATACTGCTACAGCTTTATTAATGATCTGGACGATATTTAAGAACTACAAAAAGATGATAGGCTTGACTTTCAAAGTTTCAATCAAAAGAAAAATAAATTTATTAAGAATTCAAGATATTAACTAGAAAACACCATTTACATGTATATCTAAAAGTTCGATCTCAGCATATGAATTTTGTTTAAGCTCATAATCTGATGTGGATCTAAATGATGATCCTACAATTCCTTTTAAAGTAAAGTTATATATTTATGTACATTAAAGAAATGAATACCTTATTAAGGAAAATGGATAAACCTTACATGATTAAGTTATTAAATTAAATTTGCCTTAATCTCACCAAAAACAGGTTGTAGCTAACTGTTTTGTAGCTGAGAGCCTCTGTGCAGTTTTCAACGAAACAAAATTTGATATAATTCAAAATTTCAAATGGTAAAGAAGAGACTATCGTCCAAAATTATAGTGCTATACTGTGCCTGCTACAATAAATTCATAATAATGCTTATAAAATGGAAATAAATTCTTTTAATAATTTAAGAAAATTAGTGGGATCAGTGGAATCACTGCCATGAATATGCCTGAGTTCATATATTTGTTCTTAGGAACAGAATAGCTTCAGTCGGAGTCGGAGTCTGGACAATTTTACCGACTCCACCTCCGACTCCACAAGCCGAAATTTCCTCCGACTCCGCAAGCCGAAATTTCCTCCGACTCCGCAGCCCTGGTCTCGACGGATACTATTCCTCCTCACCTCTCATCTAGGATTTTATTTCTCATTTTCCCTTGTTTAGGATACTATTTCTCAATATCCCTCTCGACCAATACACATTAATAATGGGTTTTTCAGGAGTGCATCCCAATAGTTAAACAAGGGATAACTGTACAGTATAATGGACGGATGCTCATACAAATGAATTTTATCGTAAATAGGGAAGCTTTTTTTTTTTTTTTTTATTAGCAATCATCATTTACTGTTATTTTATTTTCTACTGTGCATTTCCTGTCTACCATCATATATGAACTACAGTGTGTGTGTGTGCGGATTTTTTCTTAAGCAGTTGTAAAATGTTTCAATATTTGTATCTTCTCCATCTTTTGTCTGTCCATCTGAGTTTAATTTTTTTTTTATTCTTTCTTTACTTCCATTCACATTAAGTCGTCTTCAACGTTCTTCCAGATTTCTGTCATTTTCTGCTAGTCGTATTGACCTCCCCAGTTTCAACTATCAATCACTTATAAGATTTTAACAACTTTCAAGCCTGAAAGGATGAAATGGTATTACAAAAATGAGTTACTTTACTGCTGTACAATAACTTATTTCAGCTTTTCTGTTAGATCAACCAGGCATTCAAATTAGTAAGTTAATGATAGATTGTAGAATTTATGTGGCCAACTTAACAATGTGCAATGATTCTGCAGGAACTGGTAGATAGAGGAGGGGGAGAAGGTGATGGTGGAGGAGGAGGAGGTGACTATGAAGAGCTGGGCAACTCTCATGGGTATGTGAACACAAACAGAGGCACCTTGTTACCTGCCTGGCCACAGAGTAACCTGCTCAGCTGGGGTTACTACCTCTTCACTCTACCGTTCCGTCTCACATTCTCTTCCCTCTCGTCGCTCTTCCTCTTCGTGTACAGGATCGTCTACCCATACCCCCGAAGATGTAAGTACAGTACAGCATATGTAAGGGTTGCCCATATTAGGAATGCTGCCTGTGTTATCTGTCTAGGTCTTGAAGAGTTATACACCTTTTATAGCAAACTTTTTGCACAGTACTTAGGATAAACCTATAGTAGATAGTGATTTCCATTATGATTTGCTGTTGAAGAGCTTCTACTGTTTGTCAGGATTATGGTGTTTTGAAAGGAGGATGGCATGTACTATCATTTCTCTCGACATTTCATTTCAAGCTCAACACTTTGTCAAATATAAGAGATGTACAGTCATCATCATTACTGTTTTATGTCCATTTTTTAGACTGTGTGGGTTAGCTATGATTACTGTGTCTGATGGTGTGGTGGTCCCAGTTGCCATCAGAAATATGAAGCAAGTTATATGGCTGGATACTCTGTCACCAACCCACTTTTATAGAGTGGGAACAAAAGCTGAATCATAATACACGAACATACATTTATCTTTTTCTTCCATTCAGTAATTTTTCAAATCAAAGGAATGAAACACAGGTGATTGTTTGGATACTACAGCGATTAAACATCTCCCGAGACTAGCAGATGATAAATGTTGTTTGTAGTGGATTTTTATCTAGCCACAGTTCACCATTCTCTGATGGGTGAGAAATGATGGTTATGAGGTCCCCACATTGTGAAGTCAACTCACTTTACAGTTTTCCATGAAAAATTACAGAATTTAGAGCCAATATTTTAGAGGGATAGGTGTACCAAATGTAAAGTAAGTCGCATCTAATGTTTTGTTTTTTCTCTCGTCTTATACTGTCTTGAATTTAGAGAGAAATGGATATTTAAATAGTATCTAGTTTTTCATGCTGTCCAGATATCCTTGTATTATTAGGAAACTGAAAGAGTATTTTGTTTATTTTACTCACAACAGTAACTGACCCTCTTGGGGATGTGCTGCGGTTTATCGGAGAATATGAAAGTGATTATGGGCAGCAGCACCCATCATTCTTCCAGGGCTCTTATTCCCAGGCTCTGAGCCATGCCAAGTCAGAGCTTAAGTTCTTGTTGGTGTACCTTCACTGTGCTGACCACCAGGACACACCGATCTTCTGCAGGTGGGTTCTTTGTGGCTGTTCACCACCTTGGTACCTTTTCATCTAGAAGGAAAAGGTTTGTAAAAAAAAAAAAAATAAAGGGTAAAGTAAACACTAAATAGTACTGCATAAGGAAACATAGGTTGATTTTATTTGTTGGAATATTGGTTTATACTTTATTGAGTTCACTTGACCTTCTCATTAACAGGAGCACACTGTCAGACCCCAACCTGATGGAGTATGTTAACAGCAACATGGTGTTTTGGGGCTGTTCAGTCACCACTGCTGAAGGTTACAGGGTATCCCAGGCCTTGAGGGAGAACGCTTATCCTTTCCTGGCATTGATTGTCCTGCGTGATGGCCGAATGACTGTTGTCGGGAGGTTAGAGGGACCGAGTTCACCTGACCAGCTGACAACACAACTTCAGGCACTTGTTCGGGATAATGAAGCTCATCTTGTGGTGGCTAGAGCTGAGAGGTACGTTACTTAATTTGTATTTATTTTTTTTAATTTGTGTCGGTACGAGTAAAGGAAGTATTGTTCTTGTATTCAGGTTCACTAGTTCAATTACATCACTATTGAGGAAGAGTAGACCTGGTGTACCTCTTACTAATCTTAAAACATCTTGTTCGATCACTCTTTGTTATCAGATTTTAAGGACAAGAGTGCATAATATAACTTAAAGAGTTAGAAAAAATGTGTATAATTTCATATACAAACATTACTTCACTACCTGAAGGTTGGGCCAGAACTAAGTACAGTAGAACGTTGATTTAAAGTGATTCAATTTAAGATTGTTAATTTAAAGTGACATCCACAATTAAGGACACTGTTTTAATTTAAAGCTAATCTTTCCTATTTTGCGTGAGTCAATCTGGCGCATCACATTTTAAGATTCGCGCCCAATGTTTTTCTCGGCACGCTATTGTCGGAAGGGCAAAGTTGTACTGTACATGTACTCAAAATAATGTACTAAAAGTTTTGTCTAGTGCAAACTATGGCATGATTATTTTCAAATTAATCACTATCTTAAAAGAATTACAGCAATGCAAATTATATTCTCCCTGGTCACTTCTGTGACATTTTATAAACAAAAACTCAATCTGAAGGACATGAATAAACAAATACGTAAATACTTCACCAGACCTTCTGCCCCAACTGTCAAACGTGTCACTGTCACCTCTCCCCAGCCAGGGTTGGGTGGTTATAGGCTGACAGTTTTTATCTTATATAATATCACAGAGTAAAGTTAGGAGAATGTAATTTGCATTACTGGAATCCTTGCAAGACAGTGAATAGTTTGAATACTGTATAAATGTCATATATTTTGCACGCGATAAAAAATTTAGCCCTTTGTAATAAAATTAATTAGAACATGTCAGTTCAGTGACATTTTATCAGAGAAAAACTTAGTCACTCTTAAGGACAGATAAATAAATAAGCACTAGACCTTGGCATCAACTGTCAAACATATCACCTCACCTCCCTCCCCATCTTCCCATCAGCTATCGCTAGTATACAGACCATTTCACGTCCCATAATTTTAGCTGTCTTGATTTATGAGAGTTTGTTTTAACATAATACTACAAAAAACAATGTTTTGTTTATTCTAGGAGATGGGCTGAGGTGTATCTGGGTTGACTTCCAGTATTTTTAGAATTTAGTGTTTCTCTCAAGTACCAAACTAAATTATTCCATTGAAACAACTCTTCGATTTAGTGCGAATTCGGTTTAAAGCGGCCTCTCATGGAATGTATCTCGTGTTATATCGACGTTCTACTGTACCTGGTCGTTGTATACATGGGTGGAAGCGGCACTTGAAGGTTTTGCCTTGTGTAAGATTTTAGACTATTCAGCCCAGCATGACCAAAGGTCAAAGTATCGTGCGATTGCTTGGAATTTCAAGCTTTTTAAATTTGCTTGAAATATAAAAATTCAAATTATAATTTATTATATGTAATAGAGAAAGCAGTAATAATTCTTTCTCAGTCTTGCATCCATTGTCATATTTCACACTCACTGCTTTATCTTAAACATCCACCAAATTTAACTGAAATATCTCTTTAATTGTAGCTATAATTTGTGTTGACTGTCTAAGAGCTGCACAGTACTGTGTGCACATACAACAAGGGGCTTGGCTTTCACTCCCTCCAGCATTATTTAGTTTCTTACTTAGACTAACTTCTGCTTCCAAACTCTTAGGCAAGAGCGAGAATTAACAGCTGCCTTAAGGCTGCAGCAAGATGAAGACTATCAAGAGAGTTTGCGGGCAGATCAGGAGAAAGAGCGTAAACGGCAACAGGAAAGAGAAGAAGTTGAGCGTAAGGAGCTTGAAGAGAAACAAAAGGAGGAGGACCAGCAGCGACAGAAAGACGACATCAGACGACTTAAGGTGGAGATGGTAGACAGAGTCCCACAGGTGAGAACTTTAACTTCAACAGGAAATGCATTACATACGAGTTAATTTAAAGTGTTAAATTTGTAATCATTGCCCCTAAATCCAATCATGGAAAATGGCTGTAAAATGATGATGAAGATGAATTACTGGGGAATATTACATTCATGCATACAGACGTGTGCCCAGCTGTTAAGATTGAGTACCAGAGTGATTGTGGAATAAATAGAAATTAGTGAGATGAGGAAAAATTTAAGAGTGTGTTTTGATAAATACTATAAACGTTTTTGGAACTGGTGAAGAAAGGATTGGCTTGGTGGAAATTGGAAAGAAGTTTAAGTTGATGTGTAAAGAAGCTGTCGTGAAAAAATAGGGCAGAAGATATAAAGACTTTGTAGATGAAATTGATTTATTTGGGGATTAGAAGTGGGTGGCAGTGTGAGAGGAGGAGGATAAAGAGAGTAAGATTGAGACAAGAGGTATAGGAGCATGTTATGAAAGGGGTAAGGAGGAGTGTGTGGTGGTGTACAAGGTAATAGACAAGTGTGGTGGAGAGTGTGGTGGTGTACAAGGTAATAAACAAGTGTGGTGGAGTGTGTGGTGGTGTACAAGGTAATAGACAAGTGTGGTGGAGTGTGTGGTGGTGTACAAGGTAATAGACAAGTGTGGTGGAGTGTGTGGTGGTGTACAAGGTAATAGACAAGTGTGGTGGGGTGTGTGGTGTTGGGATGTAGTAATTCAAGTGTTTCAAAATATGGGTGACATTTTTGTACTAAAACAATAGAACTTTGGTATTTATAGTACAGTACTTAATACAGTAACCAGGTGTTGTTTATGGAAAAGGCAGCCATGAAAGTGCCATTTAAAAAAAAAAAGAGAGATATGCTTATGCTGTCAAATTCTCAGGTTTAATTCGGTCACATCATAAAAATCATACAAGTCTTGTGAGGACCAATGTTCTTGCCAAGTTCCAGCTCACACTGTTCCATAATATCTTGGGAATTGATTCAGAGATACCATTAAAGTACAACTAACAGAATATTGTTAGCAATAGATGTTTGATAGGTTTGTAAATATAACTGAAGTGATTGTTTTTATTATGCCCCAGAATTTTTGTATTTTTATTTTACCTTTTTTTTTCTTTTTTTTTGCAGTTTTCTAACCTTTCTCTATAAACATTATACTGTACACTACTGTATTGAAATTATATACTTCCTATATTGGAAAAGTAACTTCTGTGCTTCTATACTTAACTAATTTAAATACTAAGTTTTATGAAGATGAGTTTGTTTTGTTATATCAGGGGTTTACTGTACAGATGTTGACCATTATACAGTGAGGTTGGGGCCTTGGAAAAGTGACCGTAAGGTGATTGATCAGATGTTGATAGTAATTACTTATGGGGGAAAATAAGTTGTGCTTCTGAGGCCCTGAAGAAACAGAGTTAGCACTCATAGCAGTTATTTTTCAACTCTTTCAGACAGAACATGCAAAAAAATCAATAAATAAATATAAAGTAAAAACATAAAGGGAATAAATATTTGTTGTGCAGGAGAGTTGGCACAGAGAGCAGGGTGAATCTCTTGGCTCCTCTCTGTCTCGTGAAATGATTGCCAAATGACAACCTATTATTTTTTCTCTTATTATATATACAGTGACCCCTCCGTTAACGAACTCAATCCGTTCCAGAAGGTCGTTCGTTAACCGAAAAGTTCGTTAAGTGAAACCATTGTTTCAATGGGTTGTTGGGTAATTGGTTCCAGCTCACCGAAAATTTCCTAAATTCAACAAAAATGGTAGAAAAGTTCACTTACTTTGAGGTGTGTATGTAGAAGGCTCCTGGATGATGATGATGGGATTTAGAATGGGGTGGAGGAGAAGGCATTGGGGTGGAAGAGAAGTCACCCCATGGCACCATTTCACCCATAAAATTTTAGCTCTCTTGGTGTAATTCAAGATTATTTTCTTTAAATCAACACTGCACTGCATTATATATTGTCAATATGTAAAATATATTTCAAAATGACCAATAATTTGCTTGGAAACACAGAAAAAAGCGTTTAGTTGAAGAGAGTCTCAAGCAAGATGTTACCTCCAGTGAAAACAGAGAGAGACAGTAACTCCTGTTTGCTGTGTTAAGAGGCTGGATGCCGCGCATTAAACTAGTCACTTTACCTTCAATTATGTTCAATAATTGTTAAAATGACTAAAAATTGAATATTAAACTTTAAAATTATTGAATAGTATAAACTTCTTGATATTTACTAAAATAGTAAGGAATTTAAGCCCTAGATCCGATTAATGTATTGGCGGACTGATACTAAAGCTGGTTGCCTGGTCAGTGCAAGCGAAAACATGTTGAGGTCGGTTACGTAAGAACTTCGTTAATCGAATTTTTTTCGTTAACGGAATTGAAGATCCTTATGGAAGGCAGTTCGTTAATCGAAATTACGTTAACCGAGGTGTTCGTTAAACGAGGGGTCACTGTATATTATTATTTTGATTATTTCTCCCATTTACTGGTAGAGTATATATTATTTTATGTACAAAGAATATCTTCCACACACAAACCATCCTCTGGGTGACATGACACAGTTCAACTGCTCAGCCTGATAGTCACCGGGGAATATTGCGAGTTATTACACATCACTTTTTCATAGCAGTGACAATGCAGGAAAAGCATTCAGGTAGAGAGCATTGTAAATCTGATCTTAGCTATCACATAGTGGTACAAGTACAGTGAAATCCCCGTTAGCCGGAACAATTGGTGCAGACCACTTCCGGGGATGAGAGATTTCCGGCTAACCAGGCGACTTTCTCAAACCCGGAAAAATTCCTCATCCCCGGAATCTTTTCCTGTTACTGGGAAAAGTTTCCGAGTGTCTAAACTAGACATCTTGCACAGACAAACCCACTTTCCCAGAATGTTTCTGGGTGCTGGGGATGTTTTCCTTGAGTCTAAATTACCAAAGTCTGTAAATGCAGTTCTAATTAAGTTAGAAACTCCAGTTCTTTACTAAAATAATCCAGAATAGTTTATCTAAAGTTTGGTAAAAGAAATTTATTTGAAAATTAAAAATCTTTATGATATGGGCATGAATAAAGTTGTGTGTTACAGCAAAGACTGGTATTTTCCATTTACTTGGAGCTGTGGGGGAGTAGTGGGTCTCGTGTACCTGACCTGACGCAATCTCAGGTGGAGGTAGGGTGGGGGATTAGTGGTGGCATATTACTGACCTTCTGATGGAATGTCAGGTCACCCTTTCTTGGCCGGGAATTAGTGGATCTCATGACCTGAAGATGTCTTGAATAAACACGAAACCTAAAGTATTTTTAGAGAGATTGTGATAAGTTTAATTATAAATGAGCACAGTTGTATCCCTTCAACATTACATTACATAACATTTTATTTTATTTTATTGATGCATTAATTCATTCCTCCTCAGGAGCCAGAAGAGGGCACAAATGGAGTAGTACATATTGTGGTGAAGTTGCCTCAGGGAACACGACTAGAAAGACGTTTCCTCAAGATAGAAAGTCTGTCTAGTTTGTATTACTACATTTTTTGCCATCCAGATTCTCCAGACAGGTAAGTCCTTATCTTGTTAATAAGGAAAAATTATAAGATTTTATGCAAACTGTACTTGGTGTTCAAAAAAATTAACGTACAGTTCTGACATTAGGAACATTTTAGTGACTAGTTTTACAAGGTAATTACTGTATTGCAGGGTTAATTATTATTACCGGTATAATCATGAACTAAAGCACAATAAGTGTATAAAAATAACTTGAATATGCAGTAGATATTGTACTGTGTTGGGTTAGCAAAGAAGGAAAGTATTTATTGGGAAAATATAAGTGGAGGGGAAGTTGGCATGTTCTAAATAAGGGAGGTATTTTTTAGAATGTGTCAATGTTTTGTATAGTTGAGCAAACATTTTGACTAACATGGTGTCAAGCTATACTATATTGGGTTGATCCAATGGAAATTTTTCAATTAGATTTTTTTTTTTCGGTATTTACCATGATGATGATACAGTAAGTCCTCGCTTAACGTCGGGTTACGTTCCTGAAAACGCAACGTTATACGAAACAACATTAAGCTGATAAATTTTCCCCATAAGAAATAGATAAAATACGGGAGTTACGTTCCTGAGCCTCCCTTTGCCCCATGAAATACATTACATATATAAAAAATCATTGCCAATTATAGAAAATAGTGCATACATATACAACTACTAAGTTTGTATTGGTACTCACCGATGGGCGGAGGTGGTAGAGGGAGTGTGTGGTTGGTAGTGAAGTGGGGGGCGGATGGCGGAGCTGCACTGAGACTCTGCGACTGCATTCTCCTCCTGCTCTGACTGGGGCTCCTCCACCGCTTTTTGCTCCTCCTAGGTTGCTGGCTGTTGTGAAGAAGCTGCTTCTGCCGTCCCGTGACGAAAAAATTAATCCAGTGTTGACTGCTTGGTGCTGCTACTCCTCTTCTCCTTATACATCTCAGTGTAACTACCAAGACTGTCATCAATGCTGCGTTGAATCTTTGGGCTACGTTCTCTGTTTGGGTCATCATCTATAAGGATTTGCATTCCTTGCTGGATCATGTTGAACACTTCTGCCATCCTCTTGGAAGTTAACATTTGTTGAGGTTCTTCTTCGGCTTCTTCAACGGGACTGTGTTCTGTTAATTGTTGCAGATCTTCGTTGGTGAGCTCATCTGTATGGGATGCCAGGACATCCTCAACATTCTCTGATTCCAGCTCATCAAAGCCTGCCTGCCTAGCCAAGCTGAGGATATCCCTATTCACTGCTGGGACTAAATCCGTGAATCCCATGAAACTGTTGACGTACTCATGCCACAATTTACGCCACACACCATTCAGGCAACTTTCTGAAACCTCTTCTCATGCCTTGCCAATGTTGTCAATTGCATGAAGAATGTTGAAGCCACGCCGATGTTCTCGGATCGTAGGTTTATTTTCTCCGTCTGTAGCCTTGAGCAGCTGGGCCATGGTACAGCGTAAATAATACGCCCTGAATGAGGCGTTGGCGCCTTGTTCCATAGGCTGCATCAGTGCTGTCATGTTGGGGGGGGGGGGCAGGAATGCAACTTTTACATTGTTATGCAAGTCGTCGAGATTGGGAGGATGAGCTGGAACATTGTCAATGATCAGAAGAATTTTGAAGTCAAGGTTATCCTTGGCACAGTATTCCTTCATTGCAGGGACGATGTACATGTGTAACCACTGGCTAAATATGGCACCGGTTGTCCATGCCTTCTTATTTGCCTTGTAGATCACAGGAAGGTGATCCTAAGAGTAACCTTTCAGGGCCCATGGGTTGACAGTGTGAGAAATCAACATAGGCTTCAGCTTGAAGTCGCTGGCAGCATTCATGCCAAGCAGCAGCGTCAAGGGGTCTTTTGCCGCTTTAAAACCTGGCGCTTTTTTCTCCTCCTTGGAGATATAGGTCTTCTCAAGCATCCTCTTCCAAAAGAGACCAGTCTCATCCACATTGAAGACTTGCTTTAATGAGTAGCCTCCTTCCTGGATAATCTGTTTGAATTCTGGCGGGAATGTCTCGGCAGTCAACCGTATCTGAACTAGCAGCTTCACCAGTCATCTTTATGTTGTGGAGGTTATAACGACACTTAAATCGTTGAAACCAGTCTCAGCTGGCCGTAAAGGTCTCTTCCTTCGATCCTACACCCTCTGTTTCCTTCATGTCGTCAAACAAGGATCTGGCTTTATGCTGGTTAACCATAAGGCTCACAGGGGCATTGCATTGATTCTGGTCCTCCATCCACATAGCCAGCATCTTTTTCACCTTTTCTATCACAGTACTTCTAGTAAGAGTTGTCTTAGTTGCACGCAGTGAAGTACCACTTCCAGCACTAATCTTTTCAATGTTGGTCCGGATAGTACTCACCGTTGTGGAGGTTAGACCAAGCACGGCGGCTATGTCTACAGCATGTTTACCTTCTTCAAATTGGGTTAATACATCCAGTACCGCTTGGTGGGGGCTTGGAAGCTATTTCGAATAGTTAGAGTACAGTTTTAGAGCAAACCTAGTGCGGCCAGACGAGAGAGGGTGATGCGCTGTACCGAGTCACCGGGACGTTAAACAAATTTTTGGTGTCTAAAGTTTCTTACAATGTAGTACCGAAACAATGTTAAGCGAGGACTTACTGTATATGTAATCATTAAGTATAAGTGTTGAGACAACTCTTCCAACTTATCAATACAGTACAATCACACAAGAGCTACCCTAACTTACACACTGCCAACCCTGGGGCACAACATAAATGACTTTTTAAATGTTCTAAATTTATTTAATTATTTCAAGGGTCATTAATTAACACTAATTACTCAAATTTTTAAATTAAGAAACCAGATCCTAAATCCGCATGTAAAGTAGTACCTTTGTATAAAATTTTAACAAAATCCATGGTATGACTTTCAGCACACACACACACCCCACCCACCCACCCACCCACCCCCACCCACCCCCACCCACCCACCCCACCCACCCACCCACCCATCCCCACCCACCCATCCCCACCCCACCCCCACCCACCCATCCCCACCCCCCACCCCCACCCACCCATCCCCACCCCCACCCACCCACCCACCCCCACCCATCCCCACCCCCACCCACCCATCCCCACCCCCACCCACCCATCCCACCCCACCCCACCCATCCCCACCCCCCACCCACCCCCCACCCCCACCCACCCACCCATCCCCACCCCACCCACCCACCCACCCACCCCACCCACCCATCCCACCCACCCACCCATCCCCACCCCACCCACCCCCCACCCCCACCCACCCCCCACCCACCCACCCCCCACCCACCCACCCACCCACCCCCACCCACCCACCCCCCACCCACCCACCCCACCCACCCACACCCACCCCACCTCCCACCTCCTCCTTCCCACCCACCACCCCACCCACCCACCCACCCCCTCCACCCACCCCCACCCACCCACCCCCACCCACCCACCCCCCACCCACCCACCCCCACCCACCCCTCCCAACCCACCCCCTCCCAACCCTCCTAACCCACCCCCTCCCAACCCTCCCAACCCACCCTCCCAACCCACCCCTCCCAACCCACCCTCCTCCCCATCCCAACCCACCCTCCCTCCTCCCAACCCACCCTCCTCTCAACCCCGCCAGGATTCAACACATGGCCCACGAGCCCATGATGTGACTAGGAATGCTAACCGCTGAGATATATATATATATATATATATATATATATATATATATATATATATATATATATATATATATATATATATATATATATACACAGAATATATATATCAATCACCCAGACTTCCATATACTACAGACAATTGAACCTTGCACTTCTGTGTGTGAACAGGGATTGCTATCACCGTGCCACAAGGACAACAAAAGCAATCCTAGGCTTTGTTTTATTTCACACAAACCCAACTATGTGGTCGTAGGAGCATTTTACAGAATCCAGCTTGGAAACACGCGGCTACATATACTGTATAACTCATCAGTCCATATAGCACGCGGCTTTCCATATACAAACAATGCCTCACTAGTCGGAAATCGAACCCTGGACCTCTGCGTGTGAACCGGGATTACCTAGGATTGCTTTTGTTTCTTTGTGGCTTGGTGGTAGCGATCCCTGTTCAAAACAAAGTACAGGACTGTACAATGAAAGACAAAAGTCGTATCGTGAAATTTGGTGTAAACATATGCCGAAGGGCTAAACTTTTGGTGCACTCTTCCTTGTGGAAGGGGACTCTCATAATGTTTCTAGAGTTGTATTTAATCTTTGGACAAAACCCCGACACGATTTTTGTCTTTGATTGTACAGTCTCGTTCAAGATTCTTCGAACACTGCTGGAGACGGCTGGCAACTCAAGGCCGTTTGTTTACTATATTACGTAGTATAATATAATACGAAACAACAAAGCCCAACCATTAATTAAGCAATGGGGAACTAAGTGACCAATCACCTATCAAATTTTACATTTGTTCATAATTTTTACTACGTACTTAAGTAAACAAACAGCCTTGAGTTGCCAGCTGTCTCCAGCAGTGTTCAAAGAACCTTGAACGAGACTGCACATTAAGTGATGCATAGGTCACAGTTGGAGGTCACCATTTTCTTCCATTTTATGTTTTATTATGTCAGAGTTATGCCTCTGAGATACTTATCCTTAATCCTATAATGTATAATGCTTTTTTATACCCTTGGCCTGTTCAGTATAGGGGATATAGCATGGTATATGTGTGTGTATGTATGTATGTGCACCTCTTCCTTTTTTTATCCTCAGGCAGGTAGGAACATACAATAACCCATTTCTTAATCTTAGTGGTCAATACTACAGTACTGTGGTATATCACATTATACTCCAAAACATAATTCTACATTTCATCACAGTAGCTGCTCCTTCCTTCACTGACACTACCCACATTATGTCCTGTTTATCTCTCCTTTACCCTTCAACTTTCTTAAACACGCACACAAAAAACACACAATAACTTTTTTATGTATCCCTATTGGACTTGCATACATTCCACCACTGTCTTCTTTTTCTTCATTTTTATTTTACCCAAATTTATGTTATTTTCATTATTGCTGTTTGTCTAGATTATGAAGTAATGTTGATATGCTGTTATAGGTTTCAAGTGACTACAAACTTCCCACGACAAGTTGTGCCATGTGAACCAACAGGGTCAAACCCTCAACCACCAACTTTTGAAGAGTTCCGTCTGCCACCCCGCAGTATGCTTTTTGTGTCGGACTTAGATGCATGAGTTGGTTGAGCACCATGTGAATGTGATATGTAGAGATCCTGGATCATATCTCATCATGCCAATTTTGAGCCATACTTAGTGTCATTGTTTGCCTATTTGAAGTTCTTATTCAACTAGGTCCTGGTAATTACTGTCCTCGGTATCAACAACCCTGTTGACCCTCTCGTATTCTTTTGACGTAAGTTGTGTCGTTAATTGCTTCCGTGCTGGGGTAACCCTTCCCGCTCAACAGTATCTCTCACTGTGAGCACCCCTTCCATAAGCAGAAATGCTGGAACAGTGAACTGGCCCTATCTACCACCTAAGTTCCTCCCACTAGCTTTATGGGCTGGCAGATGCATCTCTAAGAGGGCAAAATGGATCTGGATCGCTCTACCCAATGTTTACTAAGATGGAAAACCCGTTCCAGTTACTGACACAACCTGTGTTGAAAGACTGTGAGGGGGGTGAAATTTCTGACCGTGGCCAAGAGTACCAGAGGGTTAACCAAGAGGAAGTTAGGGACCCCACTAAATACTTGTAACAATGTGGGAAAGAAGATCCTTAGCAATAAGATATCAGGATGATAAGAACTGGTAAACAGTATTTAATAATTCAGGAATATGTAGATCAAAATTGGTATAATTTCTCAAAAAACAAGTGTGAGAGTAGAATCATGATTTGACCAGTGCGTGTGTATGAGGACCTGGAATGGAAGTTTTAATTCCAGTATCAGTGTAATGCTGTAATGTACTGGAAAAAGGCTGTGGTTGATACAGTGTGTTGTGCATTTTATGACAAGTCAAGAAGATCTTGTAAAAGGTTAAGGGAACTATAAATAGGGAATATCAAACTGTAAATATTGGGGTGTGGTACGATTGTTGACAAATAGAAATGTTTGTCAACCACACTGTTCATTGGGAATTTTGTACAACGTACAATGTGTGAGGATGTGTTGTCTTGAGTTTATATACTATTAAGTAACTTGGGATACTGTGTTATGATTCCATGTCACTCCAATGGCTTAACAGCACACTGGCCATTTGTGGGAGCTATTCACCATGAATCACTAGTCACATTTTAGTTATATGTACCATAGTTCTGTGGACCACTTTTGAGCACTACTATTAATCTAATAATCTTCCAAGTCAGTTGCTGAGACCAGAATTATGCTTGGACACTGGTGACCATAGTTGAGCAACCATTGCAAAATTGTTCAATTATAAATCTTGTTGAAAAAGATTGCATTGGTTTGGATAATGATTCCAGTTCTCACTCTGATGGAATTTAAGAGTAAGGTCAACAAGAGTGTAAATAAGAAGTCATGTTTGGAAAAATCCCTCACTACTGAAGCAGAGTCCTCCAGAGGTTACTGTATCACAGTTACATGCTTTTCTTAGGAAGATTACAATGTTCCTTTGTTCATTACTTAGGTAAATTCTTGCTTATATGGTGGTCCTCTGCAATTCTTTGAGGTTTAGTATAAGAAAGTCACAAAATTTTGCAGTTTGTAAATATTCAAAGTCGGTTTCTCACAGAAAATGATTTAAGTTCTTGTGTAACTTCCCCCCATTTTTTTTAACAGAGGAATGAAAGCTTTTCAAAGAATAAACATATAAAAAATTAATGTAAAACATCATCATCTGTTCTGAAATATGTTACACAAGTCTCATTTATAACTTGTAGCCAGATGATGGCACACCGGTCTAGGCGAAGTGTTTTAACATTTCATTTTGTTTCTGTATACTAAGACTGCAGGCTTGCTTAGGTTTGCTGAGCTATCAACCTCAAGTTTTTTAAATAAGATGACATCTTGCAAAACACAGTAGGTGTTGGGTAAGTACAATATGCTCTCATGACTCTTTGACTTGGTGAAGGGAGTGTCCACTGTGGTTCATTTAGGCATCTTTTGTATAACATATATCAGGAGATTTGACTTGTGACATGAGTGGAAAGTTACAAGGCCATCATAAGCTACTAAGAATAGAGTACACGTTAATATCTCGGAGGTTTGCAAAACATAAATGTGAGGATCGTATATTTGCAGGGACCACTGTACCGAAGTGTAAACAATGGGTGAATCATTCACGTTATTTAAAGGATAATTTTTATGACCAATTTTAACAGTCGAGACCCTTAGCTTCTGTAGCATCACTGGCCTTTATTACCATCGTGAATTGATGAGCTGAGGCTAATAACTGAAGGATCATATACTCGTTTTTTATCGTGTCCCATGAAAGGAAGTGGAATTTTTGTGGGTGAGTGAGCCAACAAGCTCCCTTAAATTTTGGTGGTGACAATATGATGTGTGAACATTGAAGAAGGACCACCTTTATTTTAAAAGTTATTGGTGAGGCTGTGTCGATTATTATCTTATGATGAGGCATCATGCTTTAAATAAATTTATTCTTAGGTAGTAGGTAGTAGGCAGCTATCAAACAGGGAGGTACTACCATCTGGGAAGATATTGGAAGCATAATGTGTTGTCTAATGGCAGACCCTGCTGCCATATGGCATCACAAAAATTGTGACCAAGTCCCAGGTTGCTGATCTGACTTTCTGCCTCATTTACACACAATTGCAGGGTCTCAATTGTTACTCTTACTATTAACAACACAACATACATATATCATTTCTCACTATTGATATTTAAATTTTTTTTTGTTTGAATTTATTCATGGCTCTTTATTATTACAGGGGGTATTATTATTATTATTATAATTTATAATTTTTATAGACTTTTATTATTACTGTGTATTTTCTTTTATTATAATTTTTTTTTTAATATTGTTATTAATTTTATTATTATTATTATTATTTTTTTCTTTTATTATAATTGTTATTTATTAAATATATTTATATTAATTTTATTACTATTATTATTATTACCATTATCATCATCATTGGCATAATTATTATTATTGTTTTATTATATTTTCGCCCCCCCCGGGCCTTGATGTGGGTCATTAAAAATGACCCGTGCCCGGGTGGGCTAATGCCCTTAAAGAAAGAATCCAGTAGAATTGCAGCTTAGACGATATGCTATGTAAACCACACCTGCAACAGCGGCTTTGCTTCACCTTTATGTCCAGGTTTTGATTTTCCCTCTGGGAAAGGATTCAGAATATCATTGTTTTGCAGTCCAGGTGTACTGGGCCAAGATGAAAACTTTGTGATAAATATTTTGATATATAATTTACTGTACTTGGTCATCCAGATGAGATGTACAGCAATAGACATTACTGTACTTAAAGTTATTGGATCTGCAGGGGTTGATGTTTACACCAGCCAAGGATTTCTCTAGAAATATTTTAGTATGTATTTTCTTTTTTAAGTACGGTACTACACTATCATTATTTGGGAAATGTCTAAATCCTCATTTTTAAAGAGTGGTTGAAATTTCATTTTGCCCGGCCTTCATATGGGTCATGTATTTCATTACTTGATATTCAGCCTAAAAACAAGTAGTGTAAGCATAGATTTATATCTTAAATTTCAGTATTACTGTTTGTTCATAACAAACAATATGACATCTTCACTGTTTTTGTCTCCAGAAAGATTATCCAGCTCATATATAATCTCAAAATTTTACTGAGAAAAATACTTCCACCAGGTTTCATCAAATTTTAATTAGAGGGCTTATATTTACAATACATACAGTAAGTCAATAGACAAATTCACAGACAATGCCATGTGAGTTAATGTCATTGAGACAAAAAATGGAAGAGCAATATTTTATAACAGGTATATTGATTATCACTGTCAGTGATTGATGAAATCATTGTCAGTTGTGTGGTTGGAGGTTTAGGTGATTTTATTGTTGAGAGAAATATTCCTAAACAGTGACAATTTGTCAAGATGTTGGAAGCCGCTGGTTGAGTCACAAGGTTAGAATGTTATCTGAGTCATTAAACAAATATGGTAGTCCTGTTCCAGAGTAATTGGAAGCCTGAATAATATTCTACCTTGAGAGTAGTCTCCAAGTCATTACTTTTAACACCAGGTAAAGAATTATTACAAGCAGAAAATGTTTCACTTGTGATGATTATCTTGATTTGTCATTGGCCAGAGGCCTTGTACAAGAATCACTATCTATTCCCATGTCATATTACCTGCAGTGTTGATTTGTATGGACACTTATACCATAGGGCTTATACTTGTTAATTAATGGATTATATTTATATAAGAAGAAAATGGATAAAAGTTTTGTACAAAAAGTCCATTTTGTTGAAGTGGAACATATAGATGGTGAGTTCTTGTTTCATTAGAAATTCTTGAATATCATACTAATGTACACAACTTTTAGGTCTAATTTGGAAGCCTAGAAAATGTACTTATTATAGAGATGTGGCAACTTCATCTATTTATGAACTTCTCTGTGTTTCTGGTTGTAAACCGAGTTTAATTCAGGAATTTTAATTAGTTTCCTGTGACTGCTAGAAGGTTATTACCAGAAGTTGAGATACTGTATATAAGTTGCATTTCATCACCATGAAGATTACCTTCAGTGTGTCTCACACCACAGGTGATGCAGACAATGTCCATGGAAGATTTAACTCCCATTTTATGTTAAATATTTGGGGTTGTTGATGAAAAGTATTTGTATATGATCAGAATGAAAGATCTTTACTATTTATGTACAGAAACATAATTGTAATAAGTTTTTTCTTTTAAGTTTAGTGATATATGGACTAGGGAGCTCCAGAATTAAACTTGTTAAATATCAAGTAATTAATTTTCACAGATACTGTAGTATTTAATTCCCCATATCATGAAATTAAAGAAAAAAAATGAAAAGTTGGTAGTGGGTCTGTAGGTACGGAGTAGCGACCATGATTTACCAGCTGGGTGGGCATTTGGAAATTTTACATATATAATGCCAAATTCCCAACCTGTAAAAATAGGTTGGCAATAGGAAGGTTGTCCAGTCATAAAACTGACCTCAAATCTGCCTGATGGCAACTTGGACACATTGCCATCAAGTAATTGCAGCTAAACCAAGCAAGTGTAGTTGGTAAGTATTTACATATTTTAAGATAACTGACACAAACACACCAAAATAATGACATTGGGGAATCACATGTACTCAGAGGTTCACAAGTTCATACAGCAGTTAAAACAGTTTACTTATGTGAGTAAAGGGCAATATCAGGACAACTTAAATTACTTTTGGACACAAATTTTGAAACACCAGCTTAAAAATGAACACCAAACTGCACCATGAGACAGTCACCATTACTCCTTATACAGTACCAGCAGACAAAACACCGACAACCTTGAAAGTGGTATATAGGCAGGCATCTCCTTCACACCCTCAAAGATGAAAGAGCAGGCAAATATGTCCTCTATCCCCATGTCTTCAATGTGTGGGCTTGTACTGATCACAATTGTACAAATTAGTTATTTTTAAGTCAGGTGATTCATGTTACACTCAATAGTTTATAAAACATGTTAAACTTGTACTGTATCGCGATTTATCCATTGAAATGTACGTTTTCACTCGTATGTTCTACGTACCGTTCTCCCCAAGAAATGCCATGTTAATGTTTGTAAATTCAAAATTACGATTAAATGCATATGTATGCCTACTGTTAGCTGAAGCATTTAAGATCCATTGAGTGTTATTTTGAAAGCTTCAACTGTATTTAATTTTGGTGAAGACTGTACTATAAGCCGAGTGTTAGGCTGGCAATCTGAGAACTCGAGTGTTTTTAGATTAGTGAAATTATGAAGTGTCATTTTGTCACCCGAATTATATTTCCTTGATCAAAAGAATTTAGAGAATCTAATGAATGTACAGTATTGAAATTGTTGTCATATTGATATTAAAGAAGCTCATCCATCACTAAACAGCCTAGCCCCTAAACTCCGGAACAGATTTAAAAAACTACAGATGTCTTTACCGCTGTAAACCGTCATGATGATGAATTACAATCTCAACCACTGATTAGATTATAACCATTAGTCTTAAGAAATACTTGTAAATTCTTGGAGATGTTACTTGCATTAATACAAAGTGCATATGACTCAAATTATAGACCTGTAATCGCTACCGACGCATGAGTAAGAGCTCATTCTGAACGTCCATCGTCGTATGTCTCAGGTAAAATTCAAATCACTCCCATGTTAATCCTCCTTGAATTTTGTTAAATAAATCTAATTTGTGCATAAGTTCAGAATCTTATGTTATAAACATTCATATTCTCGTGTTGTAACAATTGACCCATGAATGCTTGTTTGTC